GAGAAGGCCCTTCGGGCCTTCACACGCATCATATCCAACCATGTGATACAAATAGTAACAGACAACACCTCGGTCAAATACTACATCAACAAACAGGGAGGAACACGCTCACGCACACTCCTCCACATCTCACAACGAATTTGGGAGTGGTGCATTCGGAGGAATGTCCTTCTCACAGCCATCCACTTGCCAGGCCAGGACAACACCCTGGCAGACTCTCTAAGCAGATCATCCAAAAACAACCACGAGTGGCATCTACACCCCAGACAGTTCAAAGCCCTCACACACAAGTGGGGCGAACCCAGAATAGACCTGTTTGCATCTCCACTAAACAACCACTGTCCCCTCTATTGCGCACGGCTCCACCCTCGCGCATCCCAAGGCTGTCTCGGAGACGCCTTCCTATTCCAATGGTCGCCCGGCCTTCTCTACCTCTTCCCACCGCTCCCTCTCCTATCCCCAGTCATAGCCAAAATAATCCAGGACAATGCGGACTGCATTCTAATCACACCCTGGTGGCCACGACAACACTGGTAGGCCCCCCTCCTCCAAATCTCCAACAACAATTACCTCCACCTCAGCCAGACCCCAGACCTTCTCACAGTAGAGAATGGCCTGGTCTTACACCCAGACCTGCAATCTCTACGCCTAACGGCGTGGAGAATCAAACCACACTAATCCTTTCTGATGAAGTCTCCCGCATACTCTTGGCGGCCCATAAACCCGCCACCAAAAGGTCATATGACTATAAGTGGTCCTCTTTCAAATCCTTTGCTCAATCACTGGGACACAACCCTATCTCTGCACCTACACCCTTGATTCTGGACTTCCTTGTCCATCTCTCCAACAAAGGTTTCTCCCTTTCTTCGGTGAAATGCTACCTGGCAGCAATTTCCTTTTTCCGAAGAAAGTCCGGCTTGCCGTCCCTTTTTCAAGACCATCTGGTACAATTATTTCTTAAGGGCTACAAAAATATCCACCCTCCCGTCTCCCCCCCTCCCCCAGTGGAGCCTGGAGCTAGTGTTGTCCCAGTTATCCAAACCACCGTTTGAACCTATGGCCTCTAATGATATCTCCCACCTATCGTGGAAGACGGCCTTCCTTGTGGCCATTACCTCAGCCAGGAGAGCCAGCGAACTTGCGGCCCTCCGGTCAGACCCCCCCTATGTTAGATTCCACCCTGACAAGGTCGTTCTTCGCACCGATGTCACGTTTCTCCCTAAGGTGGTTTCTCATTTTCATATGTCGCAAGACATTGTTCTACCAAACTTTTTCCCCAACCCATCCTCCCAGTTGGAGGTAGTTCTGCACTCCCTTGATGTTAAAAGAGCACTTTCCTTTTACTTACATAGGACTTCCACCTATAGGAAGTCTCCCAGATTGTTTTTGAAATACAGGAAAGACGTACTTGGCCACCCTGTGTCCTCCCAAGGACTAGCCTCCTGGATTGTTGCGACGATCCGTCTAGCCTACCAACTCGCAGGGAAGGACCCTCCATCCCACCTGGTGGGACATTCAACACGCGCTGTGTCCACATCTCAAGCATTTCTCAAGGGAGTTCCCTTGGACCAAATTTGCAAAGCAGCTACGTGGGCTACACCGTCCACGTTTGCCTCTCACTACAAGCTTGACATACAAGCAAAGCAAGATGCCGGCTTCGGCAGAGCAGTTCTTTTCTCCTGTGTGGCATGACCCACCTCCAGGTCAGTAGCTTGCTATTCACCCATAGGTGCGCATTTCACGGACGACACGAAGAATAAATAAAGGTTGCTTACCTGTAACCGTATTTCTTCGAGTGTCAGTCCGTGAAATCCGCACGACCCGCCCGTCCTCCCCTCTGTCATGCCATTCTCCTGGCCGCTGTTTAGCGCTAGGAACTAGATAATGGCGGCGCCGCTTGGCGCTTATATCCGGGGGGCGGGGAGATGGGCGGAGCCTATATGGCTCAAAATAATCATTTTTAATTCATTTAACTTAGAAATGTTCCGAGTTTCTGCGCATGCGCAAGGAAGAACCCATAGGTGCGGATTTCACGGACTGACACTCGAAGAAATACGGTTACAGGTAAGCAACCTTTATTTATTATTATTATTATTATTATTTTATTATTTAAGAATATACATGTGTCCTCATTAGTAAGTACGTGTAGGTTTGCAAATGTACAGTAATACGACAATTATTGTACAGTACCTCACTAATTTTTAATCAAAATTTTAAAGTGATGGTGCACTTTTCTACAGGTATTGAAATATAGTTGCAATTTAATACAATCCTTGAAACAAAAATCCAGCCAGCATTTGTGCACACAGGCAAATCCCAGTGACTATTCTAAATTAGTGTTTCTCAAACTCTACTCCTCCAGATGTTTTGGACCTCACCTCCCACAATTCCTAATAGCTGGCAAACTAACTGGGATCTCTGGGGACTGAAGTCCAAAACACCTGGAGAAACAGAGTTTGAGAAACACTGTTCTAAATTATCAATTTGTTTAGAAGATCAACAAGTGAATATATAGTATTTTAGACTAAAAAAACCTCATAATCCTTTTATCCATGCTAAGCAGTTCTGAAACCTGTAGGGATTGAATATGTAGTGTTTTCATAAAAATTGTGCTTCTCATTCATAGCTGTTAGACACGGGTGGACCAAGTTGGAAAAGCTTGGTCCATGTACACATTTGAGATAAGCCCTTTGAATTCATCCAGACCTTACAGATAGGGAATGAAACTTTTTGTATGGGATGTTTGGATTACCAAGGAATTGCTATAATGTCCATTTAGTAGGACATCATGACAAATTCACTGTTGTTTGTTAATGACACACTGAGCAATCTTTTTGAAGTGTCAGCTCAGGTTCCTAGGCTCCAATTTGGGGCTGGATCCTTTGGATGTGTATTATTCTCATTCTCTTGTCAAATTGCACAAGTTCCTTGTTGTTTTGCTCAAGCCTACACTGTAAATAGTTAAATAATTATTTACAGCTAGGGTTGTTCATATGAAGAATTAAAAATATTTACATGATTGATGTAAAGACCAAATCAGGAAGAATTATCTTTTAAGCCTAAACATTTAAGGTTGAAAATACAAAGTTACCTTAGGTGTTGTTTGTATAGCAAAACACCTGAAAAAAGAAACCTGGAGTCTTCTTATGCTGGCTACAATGTGTGAAGATCATCTGCTAGGAGTAAGATTTTTTTTTATCATGTAATAGTCATACCCTCTTTTTTGGTCAAAAAGATGGATAAAAAGTGTGATTATTACTTGGTGAAATATAATATCCCTGTCAATCCTTTCTGCAGCCATATCAGAACTGATTTGCTTCCGCGTTTGATGTTTAAATGTAGGATTTATCTGCTCTTGCCATCAGAGAGAAAAAAAAGGCTGCAACAGCACATTTAATATTAATTTGGAAGAAAATATGTAGAGTGACCTTTATTGGGCCACTATTTGCAAACAATGGAATATCCATTTAATTTTTATTTGAAGTGAATTATTCCCAATATTTTTAAAGCTCCACGACTTTATTTTTTTTAGATTTCATCATTAGTTTTCATAAGCATATTGGAGTACATTCCATAATCCTAACTCTAATCGAAAATATTTATTTCAGAATGCCTCCAGATTTCACAATTATATCTCAAATGAGCAAAAATGCAAATTTCTTTCTAGCTGCTAAGATTGATCAATAATTGTGAATTCTTCCTGTAATAATGTAACCCACATTTTCTTCAGTGACTGTGGTGTTTGATGCAAAAATGAAAACTCCATTTAGATTTGAGTATTAGATTATATGTTCACTTAAACTTCGTGCTCTGGATAAACCCCCTGGTTTTTTGGAACAGTTTCTCTGAAATGTCATATAGTGCTGAAATATACTGATACTGTATTAGAATATATAGCATGGACACAATTTGAATATAGGAAAGTGTTTGTATATTATGTTAATTCTGTAATAATGTGGCATATCATGTTATACAAATCAAATCTGGACATAATCTTACAATTCTAGCAGCTATTTATCATACAAGTTTAGTAACATCTAATGAATTAATTGGGGGTGGGGAAACAACCACCATAATAGTGTGTTGTATGGTTTCAGTGCTGTATGGCCATGTTCTAGCAGTAGTTTCTCTTGGCATTTTGCCTGCATCTGAGGCTGGCATCTTCAGGGGATCTGATGATGGTAAGGCAAGTGGAGTATATATACCTGTAGAGCAGGGGTCCTCAAACTAAGGCCCGGGGGGCCGGATGCGGCCCTCTAAGGTCATTTACCCGGCCCTCACTCAGGGTCAACCTAAGTCTGAAATTACTTGAAAGCACACAACAACAACAACAATCCTATCTCATCAGCCAAAAGCAGGCCCACATTTCCCACCGAAATACTAATAAGTTTATATTTGTTAACATTGTTCCTCATTTTAATTAATGTATTGTTTTTAAGTGTTTTTTACACTACAAATAAGATATGTGCAGCGTGTATAGGAATTAATTATTATTTTTTTCAAATTATAATCCGGCCCTCCAACAGTTTGAGGGACTGTGACCTGGCCCTCTGTTTAAAAAGTTTGGGGACCCCTGCTGTAGAGTATCAGGGGTGGGAGAAAGAACCAATGTCTGTTAACCAAGTGTGAAGGGTGCAATTAGGAAGCTTAATTTGCAAGTATGTGAGTTAGCATTTGAGTAACTATGAAGATTGCATAGTCAATACTGAGGATATCTGCCTAAAAGTAGCCTATTCTTTGTTCCTTTTGAATTGTTTACTGCCTGGAGACATCCTTTGTATGGGTGGTGTTCACTAGACCTTGATTGTTTGCTACCTGGAGGCCTCTTGTGTTTGGGGGTCTTCATTAGTTTATTACAGCCTGGAAAGCACACAACACCCCAATGATTCCGGCAGTACAATTCAACCACCATAATTGAATATGCATCTTAGCTGTCTTTAGATATTCTTCTTCCTGTTTCCCTTGCCAACTTATGAGCAATTGTTCTAATACTGTCACAGAGAGGAAGATTCAGAGCATGAGAAAGATAAGAAAATCTGGTACTACAGCACAAAAGTCCAGCTGGCAGAGTTAATTGAATGTCTTGACAAAGATTACTGGGAAGCTGATATTTGCAAAACTCTGGAAGAAATGCGTGAAGAAATTCATCGACATATGGATATAACAGAAGACCTTACTAATAAAGCACGGGGTAGCAACAAATCATTTCTTGCTGCAGCAAATGGTAAGAATCTGTTTAACTAATTCTGAATTGTTAATTACATGTAATGCTTTATCAAACATGCTTTGAATTTTTACCTTCTTGTATCCCATTGATAAAAAATCAGGCAGGCTAAGTTATATTGGGTTGAAAGTATGGTTCTCATGAACTTTTAATGATCCAGAATGCATGAATTTGTCAGGTACAATTGTCACTCCTGTTTGCACTTATAATTATCTGAACATTGGCACTCCCAAAGCCAGGTTCTTCCTATTGCTTTTCCAGAAAAATCACTAACCTGTGTGTTTAACAACCTGTGTTTTAATGAAATAAACAAACAGCAGAAACTCCACATTGTTCTTCTAATAGTCCAGCTTTCCAGTATAATTCAAAGTGGAGATGCTGTATATTCATTCTTTCAAATAGTGTGATGCTTGTATTTAGCAAATAAATTTAACCAAAAATAGCTGTTCCAGATTCTTATCCGATTCAAACTATATTTGATTCTGCATTTGGTTTTTGTAACCTATTGGAATAAAAATCAACCAAGAGAAATAATTAAATTAGAGCTGTAATTCTGTTTTCTGCTTTGCTCACATACACTATCCAAGCTATTGGGCATGTTCGGAAAATCAAATCCTATATTCATAAGCCAATTTATATGCAAACCCATATATGCAAACAGTTACACTGATGCTATTTTGCTCTGCCCCCTCAAATGTAAGAAAGAAGCCAGAAAACCACAGTTGAACATAGCTTTCTATTGTTTGAAAACTGATAGCTATAGTTCATGGCTTCCAGTGAGGTCTACATTCATAAAATGACTTTGAGGAATGACTTCATACCCTATCCTGATCTTTTTGAAAGACATTAGCCATCATTTCCCAGGTCTAATGTAATCGAAAACAACAGTAAACTCTGCATTCCTTCCTTAGTTTCCCACTCATGAGGAGCAAAAGAATTATAAAGGGGTAACAATATTCAAGTGCTGTATGTTTCCAAATACAGACAATGTTTTTAGATTATGCAAGTTAATTTTTGTAAAATAAAGAAGGGGCGGGCACAAGGTTTTGGTATGCATTTATGTATGGCGTATGTTGGAGTTAATGTTCAGTGGGAAATGTGCACATATATTAGCATTATGAAGAATGGATTGTACACTTTTTCTGTCAATATGCATCTCTGAGAGGTTTCATTCTTTGGCTGATCTTATTCCCCAGTCGGTATGAATGCATTTGTATCACTGTGTATAATCTCCAAATGGCGCCAGAAACCCTATATGTGTTGACAGCGTAAGCAGGTAATTTCAAACACTGATATCACTTGAGACCATGTATATCACTCGTGTAGATAATGAGAATTTATCTCAAGGAGCTCAGACTTTACTCAGTCAATATAGCTGTATTTTTGATAAGCTAAAATCATTACTATTTTAAAACAGACAAGGAGACACCCCTCTCTCCCTTCCTGCCTGCCTCCACTCACCCACCCTATTTTCGGGTGCATGTATACAGCTCATTTTCCCCACATTTTTCTGCCCTACTTCTATTCGTAGTGAATTGTCCATAGTGGCCTTTGGACAGCAGAGACTGCACATAGCAGGGTGCATATAAGTTGCCTCTGTGTACACAGACAGATGTGCTTTCTGCTTTTAGGGTGGCTATTAGATGCAAACCTATGAATGCGTATATCTTCCTTCTTTAAATGCAACATGAAACAAAGAAATACATATACCTTTTTTTACTTATTTGCTGCCAAATAGTATATTTTACGCTATCACTTCTGGTCTGAAATGTAATAGTGTTTATTTGCTTTATTTCTATACCGCATTTTTCAGCCCTTAACAGGCGACTCAATGCGGTTAGTCAGCCTTTTACATTTTTTAGTTTTAGACCGCTAATCTACAGAACCAGTCATAAGAAATTGTAAGATACAGTCTTCAGGGCTGTATCTTAATGAAGCAGTTGAGTGTTAAGGCCATGCAAGTGGGCTCCCATTCATACAAAGGGACTCCCTCCAAGTTTCAGACTTTCTGGAGTATCTGATAACCATTTAGCAGATTTCGAGAAATTGAAAGGTGATAATTACTTTCATCCTCTTCCACTGTCAGATCCATGCTGTCAATATTAGATGCAATCGGAGTATTCACTTTATATGCACTTTCTGTGCTTCCAACTTAAGTTAACTCCATTCTGAAATAAATAAGTCTTCATCATTAAGAAACAACACTGAAATATTTAACACTAATGACAAGACACAATTAAAATTTTAAAGCTCATCTAAAACTGCATGACTCAGTATAGACTCCATATATCTGCTATTATATATTTTAAACATAACTTTCAGTTCAACCTTTAACTTTGTGATGCATATTCACCATAACCCTGACAAATGTGACATTTGAAGTATCACAATATGTGCTCCTATACTTTAGGACTTGTTTGAGGAGCACTTTTCTTTTCCAATTTTATATTTCATTGTTACCATTTTTCATCTTAACCCAGCATAATGACATTATTTCTATATTAGTTAAGAGCTGGCATATTAGCTTTCCTATTAACAGAACAAATACATTTTATACAGTAAGCATAGGTTTTTTAAAATGCCTGCTCATTCATGCAACATCTTACACAGTGAGGTGACACAATTTTGGATAACACTCATTTTTTAAAATACAGGTTACTTGTGTCCATCTTCCGGGTACTAGGTTCATGACAAATAGCATGTTTAACTAGCTGTAGTTCCACTTTGAACAGTGGCATGCATTTTCACCTTGCTTATTACATGCAGTATTATAATTTCACTTCAATCATTTTTGTCATCTTTGATTTTTTTAATTCTTTTTTCCCTTTTAGTTTGGTCTTAACCAACAGTATGGAAGTCTCAAACCAGATCTGTCTTTTTGCCAAGCAGTCTTACATGAGCCCAATTTGACTCTTAAATGGTGAAGACAGGGTTTAGTGCAGTATGTGTCAGTCACTCTGGTCAGTTTTATAAAGATGGATTATGGCCACATAGTGCTTTCATTTGTTTTTCAAGAGACTCTTTTCTTGGACTGTGGCAGAGTTTGCTGTGAACGTTTTTCAGGTCATTCAATATTACCATTAATGTCCCTTTAGTGTTGAACTTATTGTCTTAAGTGATCATGATATGTTACATGTTTTCAGAGTTTCCACATCAGATATTTCTTTAGATCTGAGAGAATACCATTTATACACTGGTGTTATGTATTCTGGCTATTTGATTCCATTAACCAGTCAGTTTCCCCTTAATCATTAGCATAGTAGCCAAACTCTAATCCCAATAGCCAAAACAGAGGTCCCTGCTATTTTTGTACAAGGAGACATCATACCATTATTTGAATGTGTTTTATGTATTACAACAAATACAACCTGTATTTACAAACAAAGTTGAAGGCCTCTATGCTGCTTGCATAAGGTTCTGGAGAATAATATGTCTTTTACTATTTTCCTCTTGAGAAGGTAAGATCACATCTGTTTTCTGACAACTTGGTTTTTTGTGCTCCTAGCTTGCTTTCATGTACAATGAAATAAGTCACGAGTGTAGAGTTTTATCATTGGGGTTGTTTAGTTTCTCATAACGCTTGGCAAAATTTACAGTTTTCATTGCTTGATGAAAGAAAGAATATGTAAGGGTAAAGAGGTCAAAGTGAGTAACGCCAGCTCCTCTTCTATCTAGGCATCAGTTCTTTTGTACGGGCCCGGAGTCCAGCTTTAGCTGGTTTGCATTTCTTTGCCATAGGCAGATGTAAACATTGTACCTAAAATTGTAGCATTAAATACTTCAGGAGCTCAAGACAAACCAAGGCCAGGAGAGAGTAAAACTACTTGGGCCTTACTTTGCTGTGACTGTTATTCCCTTTGGAGAACATGGCTATGGTATATTTTTGAAGAATGTAGCAGCCTCCTCCAGTCCGTTCTTGTACTAAAACATACTGTTTGGTGAGACTGTGAGGTACATCTTCTACATTTCTTTCACCAGTTAAATAATTTGGACAGATTTTTGAGAGGGTTCTTTGTTGAGGTTAGAGAATATCTAAGAATATCTAAAATGAAGGGGAACTTGTAGAATTTAGTTGAACATGCCTTCTTCCATATCCTGCCCTATTACTGAGGTCTTCTTATTGAGAAGTTCCTACTGGTTCCATATGAGCCTGAATAATTGCTTCTTTCCATTTATTGTATCATTCACAGTTACGCATTTTATAAATAAATTATATGCATATATATTTTATGACAACAACCCAATGTACAGAATCCCTTAATTATGCTGTGAGTGACATTTCTTGATACATTGCATATTGACTGATCAATTTGTCCTTTCAAAAAGAGAGTTTCATGTGCAAGTAGTATTGCACAGAGCAGTGATCTGCTACATTGATCTTTCAGAAGAACATATAGATGCTTTGGGAATGGAAAAGAGTTAAAAGCTCTGTCTCCTACACTCAGGGTTCTTTCAGAGCTGTAGTTTCCAATATGGTTCATTTTTTCTTCAGGTGAAATTCTGGATGCAGCCAGAGTCAGAAGGGGTGAAACGTTGGAGGATCAAAACTCAGTGGCTGATGAAACAGAAAAAGAAAAGGCTAGTGTTGAGAATAAAGACAACACAGACGTTGAAAATGGCAAAGAAGATCCTTCAAATCAGCAGTCGGATTCAAATAATGAAATGCTACCTAAAGAAAATTCTAAAAAAGGAAGCAAGGAAGGTAAAAACAATATATTAGTTAATATGCAGGGCATTTAAACAAATTGAAATAGGTATATTTGCAACCATGAACAGCCTATGAATGAAACTCTTACTCCTTCAAAGGGTGGGGCTTAGAGTTTCAAATGATTGATACTAGGTGCCTTTCCCAGCACGCAACAAGCCCTGGTCTCAGTCATTTGCAAGATAGCAACCTTGCAACATAAGACCTAATGAGACATTCTCCATACGTGGGATTATTTTTTAGATTTGTTTTCTTGCTCAAAATGGTTAATGAAACTTGAAAACTCATTAAATCACTTGTACATTTTGTCTAATTGTAACATGTTTCCATTGTGAAATATGCTGCTTTGAAATTGGTTTCATCATTTTCAAACACCCTTTACATTCAGCCCTCTGTGTCCACAGGTTCTGCTATCTACAGTTTGAAAGTATTCACCCAAGTTTAAGTTTGACTTTTTCGCAAAGTTTGCAGCATGTTTTATTACTATAGCATTTGTTTTGCCATTTTATATAAGGTACACAATTTTGCTACAGTATTGTTTTTAATGTGACTTAAGCATCCACAGACTTTGGTATTTACAGGAATTCCTGGAACCAAATGCCAGCAGATGCCAAAGGCCAGCTTTATTTGCTAGAGTATTATTCACTGTGGTCATTTTTAAAAAATCATGTTTATGTCTTTATCTTCACAGTCAGCCATTTTCCTCAAATCATACTACTGAATTTACCTAATGCAATCAGTTTTCATGAACTTAATTTGCCAATTTATATTGGGAGAAAGGTGGGATAAAAATAAAATAAATAAAATAATTCCTGTTTGCATGCCATGCTACTAATAAGCGAATTTTTTTAAAAAAAATCTACAATGAATTCTTGTACATTTTACTGTAGAACCAGCAGATGGTGATAAAAGTGATTCCATGACATCTTCTGTTGGAGGCAATATCACAAACCCTTCTGCAAGAGAAGCTAATACTTCTGAAGGGAAGAACATAGTAGGATGTGAGCCAGTAACTCTTAATAATAATGAGGCAGAGAAGAATTCAACATCAGAGTCTTCCAAAAATGTCACAGGTATAGCAAGGGTCCCTGTAGTTCATTGAATGTAAATGAATCATTGAATAATGATGGAGAAGTAAATTAATTTATGATGTATGCTGTTCCTGCTGATTCTTTCCCGGAGCATCCTTTACTGTATTTTGTGCTTGTTTGTACTCAGTTGGTAGTGTTCCACATTTAATGTGAGGGTGCTAATGTTTTCGTGTCCTTCAAATATTTGGAATTGGAGTAAGTTAAGTGTAGGTTTTCCTTTATGACATTATTTATTTGCCAGAACCCAAATCCCTAGCCAAAATGACATGTGTTTCTCAGACTGTAGTCCAACAGCGTTTGGGGAACATCATGTGTGAACTACTGGTTGTGTAATATATGATTGCAACGACTCCTTTATCTATTATCAAGAACAGATCATATTACCAAGAATAGTGGTAGCAGATTTTTTAGGTGTTTGTTCACAGCCCACAATTCCTGCAGAGTAGTCCAATAAGTGAGATGCTTTGGGAGTGGGTTTTTGTGATAAAAATGTGCTTCAGAAATCTCTTACTTTCATGTTCCCCCAAGAAAACAAATGACATACACTTCTCCATATTACATATGTAGTTTGGTCACCTGCTTCTGTTCTAGAAAAAGGGAATGGAACCTCCAGCCTGTGGGCCTAATTCAGCCCATAACTTGGAGATGCATTATCCGCTTTGTGAAACCTTGCCCTCTTGGGGATTCTCTCTAAAGGAAAGGGGAATCCTCCTATCATTGCCCCTTGGAGATCAAAGATTACTGTGTGGAGGAGGGGGGTTCCTAGGTTGCCACAATGTCAAAATGTTGGAAATGTTGGTTCTCCAATCACTGTGCCAAAGGCAGTGTTAAGAGATTGATTTTTATTGCTGGGCAAATGCAGTTCTCCTGTTCAGAAATTGGGGGAGCACCATATCATTTCTTGTGTAACTTGGTCCATAATCACTCTTGCATAATTAAAATCCTTAACTGTTAAGACTAAACTTGAAACAGAGCTGCTCTTCATACAGAAGAGACATGTATGTGCATGAAATGAAATATATTGTAACTTATCTGATAACACAAGCCAACAAAATACAACTTTTTGTAATAATCAGAAATGAGATTAGCACAGTTTGAATCATTTTAATGCTGATTTTAAATATGTCTTTATTTTTTCCGTCACATCAACTTTTAAAAATATGATGAATGTAACATTACAGCGGACTACTGTAAAGTCTGCACATTTCACATCATATTCATGTAACACAAACTAACAAATATTTTTCATCATATATAATTTTAGATCAGTCTTACAGATTTTTTCATGCTGAATTCAGCTCTGTGTTTATTTTTTCTCTATCATGTGTAGTTTTTGCAATGAGGCTAATCAAATAATTAATGCATTTACACACTGATATCAATTAGATTCTATTGATAAAGTGCATACATGCCTTAATTATTCAATTAGCTTTATCACAAAATTGACACATGATAGAGAAAAAATAAACACTATTGTGCAGAAAACTCTATAAGAATGATCTGAAATTATATCTGATGAAAAATACTTGTTGACATTTGTAATTCCTTCGGTTTTCTTTTGAAAGTATCATCTTGTGCCTTTCTGAATGCATCATTATTGATATCTTAGAATTCTTTTCTTGCATTTTGAAGTGTTCTGAAGATAGTACTACCTAAAATAGTTGTCTTTTGTAGGTGAAACTGCTAAGCCAGTTCCTAGCCAGAATATTGGCTCATCTGCTGAAGCAGTCTCGTCTGAACCAGAAAACAGCAATAGCAGCGAACTAAATTCTATGCAGAGTGAATCTGTAAAGATTTCTGATGAAGTGGAAAATATTGAAGGAGGATCCCAGAGCTCAGAGGAGCTAGGTAAAAATAAAGTGGTTTGTCACTACAAATGCCTGGTGGTTGCTTTATTTTTTAATTGTGATTTTTTTTAAAATTCCTAAATAGCAACTGTAATACTAAACTGGTGTTTGTTGCTAGCAGTGGACTGGATAAGAGTACAGTATTAAGAATGTCCAAAATGCTGTGACTATATCTGGTTTTAAAGCTGTTTGAAACAGCTTCCTGGTTACTGATCTGTTTCTGGGCACAATTCAAAATTCCAATTACGATCTATAAAGCCACGTACAGCCTAGCTCCAGACTCTCTGAAAGCCTGTATCTGCTCATACACATCTGCCCAAGTGTTATTATCTGGGAAGGTCTTTCTATCCTGTCACCATTGCAATCCTATCTGGTGGAGATTCAAACAGAACTTTCTCAATGGTTGCTCCTAAGCTATGGAATTCTCTATCAAAGGTGACTTGGTTGGCTCTTTCTCTGCTCTCTTTTCATCAACACACAAACACCTGCCTATCTAAGCAGTCATTGTGTCTAACTGTTTGCACTAGGAGTTCATGCAGTGAGTGTGCTGCTTATGTAATATCTCTTTTTTAATTATTTTAAATTTAAATTAATGTCTTCAAAGTAATGTTTTTATTGGATTGGTAATTCAGTTGAACCCTATATATTGGTATACATTGACTTGAAACATACCTTAGAATAGAATTTGGGGGATGTAGAGAAGCTCACAAATACTTCCGGGGAAGGTAGTTTTCAGCACACGGGTTAGTGAAAGTGGATGTTGAGTCCGTGGATAAGGATAGTCATCTCTATACTAATTGGGGGTTTCCCCCCATATATCAACTGTTTGAATGTTTTAATTTTTTTTTGACAGGAGATAAATCTAATGGTGAAAGAAGTGAATCTCCAAGCAATGGAAGAAGTACCCCTGGTTCCACACGGATGGTCACCAGGTTACGAAATCCAGATAGCAAACTCAGCCAACTAAAAAGCCAGCAGGTTGCTGCTGCAGCACATGAAGCAAATAAGCTATTTAAAGAAGGCAAAGAGGTCTGTACTACTTTTGAAAACTATTAATTAAAGTACTTCTGGTATAGGCATGCCAAGTTGAGGTTTTACTGCATGATTTTATTATGAAACAGAGTTTTGAATGCTATGTTTTTCCCAACTGGAGGAGACTCATCAAATTAACTGCTAGATGTTGAATCACTAACAAATAATTAGTTTGCTGGATCTACTGTACTTGAACCTTATCAGTTCAGATCACAGAGTAACAGGGCAGTTTTATTATATGTACCCAGAACTTTATTAGAAATCCACTTAGCACCTCTTTGGTTGTGTGTGCTCTATCAAGTCACCTGTTCACTTGTGGTGACTAATTGATCCTTGGAGGCAATTTGTCATGACCTTCCTCTACAGCATTTGATATTTGTTGGTGGTATCCCATACAAGTATTAAGATCCAATAGAATATTTAGGCCTCAACACACACCTGTTTCTATACAAATGCATATAGGATTGCACCTAACATCAGCAGTTGCACCAGAATTTACTTTGTCAACCACTATTGCTTTTCTTTGCTTTTTTTGTAAATGGGTTTATTCAAACAAAGAAAAATCATACTTATAAAATACAACAACACAAAATGAAATGATTTTTGTAGACTTTTAAAAATGTATATCCATGTTATGGTAACATTTTTCAGTGATAAGGTCAAGAATGTATTATGCTTCCATGAACTTCTTGTTGGTCAATGCAATATAAATAGATTCAAGATCATTGACAACAATGACTCTAGAGCAACCCCTCCACTCCGCTTGAAATAGCACTGCTGACAAATAAAGAGAAATTGTTTTTTATGGTAGTTTTAATTCTCTCTAGTAAAAGCAACAGAATTGTATTGAAGGCTAATATTCATGGTGGGTTGTGCTCTTATTGCCGGGGGATATTTCATTAGGTGTCATTTTTAGTAGCTGTTTCTGTATTACAGTTCCCAAAAATAAACAGGGCTTCTGCCTTTCAGATTAAAGGTAAAGTCTAATTGTGAAAAGTTCTTTTTTTAAAAAAAGTGTGTGTTCTCCCTCTCTCCCCCTTCTTTTAAAAAAAAATGTCATCAAGGTCCTCGTGGTTAATTCTCAAGGGGATGTTTCCCGACTGAATGCCAAGAAAGAAATAGTGATGAAAGGAAGCATCAACAATTATTTCAAGCTGGGTCAAGAAGGGAAGTACCGTGTCTACCATAATCAGTATGCCACCAATTCTTTTGCTCTGAATAAACATCAGCACCGGGAAGACCATGACAAGAGACGACACCTTTCTCATAAGTTTTGTTTGAGTCCTGCGGGAGAGTTCAAATGGAATGGCTCTGTCCATGGTTCAAAGGTCCTTACAATATCCACTCTGAGGCTAACCATTATTCAGCTGGAAAACAACATCCCATCATCCTTCCTTCACCCCAATTGGGCATCTCACAGGTGAAGATGTTTACACTTTTCATATAGTTGAATAAAGCCAGTGCATGTGTTTTGCAAGGAATCAAACAGGAAGTAGTTGGAGAAGTAAGTGTAGGCAAAGATAACCAGTGAATCAGTGTGTAGTTTTTCATAGTTTTTCGTAGCAGTAAGCCTGGGAAAGAAGGTTTTATGCCAAAGACTTCACAAAAAACTGGATTTTAAGAAGGAACATTTAAATGAGAATTGGTATTTTATATTTAACTTCATTAAGTTTTTTGTGTGGTCACTTTAAAATTGTCAAGATACTTTTTCCAGTGTATTTTGCAGTGGCTAAACAGATACTACTGCAAACAGTGAATTTGAAACATCTTATGCTTTTGTCAAATGCAGGTCTAACTGGATCAAAGCTGTTCAGATGTGTAGCAAACCTAGAGAATTTGCATTGGCTTTGGCAATATTAGAATGTGCAATTAAACCAGTTGTCATGATGCCAGTCTGCAGAGAATCCTTGGGACATACCAGGTAAGATGTCTCAGTGTTTGTGAAATGTAATTAGGTAGCTCAACTACATGTCAATATTCTTGAGTTTAGCAATGACCATGGGACATGTTTAAATTGTATTGGTACGTACTATTTTTGTTTGCAGTAGTGACTTCTTCATGAAGGTTAAATCTTCAGCTCACTTCTTCTAAACAAAGTACACTGAATATTTCTAGGGGAGCCACATAGTTTAAATGTTCGTGTTTGTCTGTCTCAAGAGTAGCTGACCAGAAGAAATAATAAGTACTATTGTATGTGCTGTGTGATTAGATTGCGTAGAATGACAGCTATTGAAAGAGAAGAAAAGGAGAAGGCGAAAAAAAAAGAGAGAAAGCAAGAGGAGGAAGAGACCATGCAACAAGCAACATGGGTGAAGTACACATTTCCTATAAAACACCAGGTACTGTTTCCACATTCAAATCTTTTGAAAATAAAATAAAATAGGCCATTTGTTAATGCTTAAGGAGTTCAATGTCTTTTTAACATTTTGTTTAAATTGTACAATAGTAAAATAGATGAAGTGAAAGTTCTTATGTCTTGAGTCTTGGCTTTTGTCATAACTAGAAAACATTGAGGTAAACTATAAACTTTTTTCTGGTGAGAAATTGATTTGCTGTTTTTATTGATCCCAATTTCTCTATCTGGAAAACTCTGGACAAATTGAGATTCCACAGCTTACTCAAAGGAGGATATTCTCTATGTTAACTTCCCCATATTGCCATCCTAAAGGAGGCACAACAGCCATCAGTTCTAACAATAATAATAAATAAATATTTTCTTCCACAATGGGGACCTAAAGCAGCTTCCAACATGTTAAAAAATTAATATAAAGTTAAACAACAATCAAATGTATGAATATAAAACATTGTAGGAAATCAAGGTAAAACATAAATAGACATTTAAAGTGGTATATATTATTGCACTGTCCTGTTATATCTTAATATCACCAAGTGAAGGTTTATCCATCTGGCATCTGAAGCATGATTCCCCACTCTTTGGAACACCTTCTCTTCAAATTCAAAGCAAGCGCCAATGGTGCTATTGTTTCCTAAGCATTGTTCCTTCCCTCCAACCAGCAGATAGGATAGTGAGTTCATAATAGGATTGTCTTGTTTATTCTCATATTTTCCCTCTTTTAATTGATAATATTTTTATTTTTTATCTTGTACAGCACTTTGAATATTAGTTACTATAAAATAATAAAGTAAGGGAAATAGTGAATTCATCATTGTAACAAAATAACCTTTGGTTGCTATGAGTTTTCCAACCTGTATGGCCATGTTCCAGAAGCTTCGTTCTGCCTAAAAAAGAATGTGTTGAGACCATTACAAAAAAAAATAAAAAATCTCATCGCCACCCCAATTCCACCAGTATGAATAATTATCCAGACTCTAACATTCAATTTAGGGCAGTGTTCTGGAGCATGTGTTGGCCTCCCAGCTCCAGGAGTTTCAGGAGGATGTCTTGATCCATTTCAGCACTGCTTCGGGTTATGGAGATGGTAATACCTTAGTGGATGACTTGTGCAAGGAACTGGAATGGGGAGTGTGTCCCAATTGAACTTCTCTGCAGATTTTGATGGAACCAACTATGCTATCTTTCTGAACTACCACTCTGGGATGGGGCTTATAAAGATTGCTCCACAATGATTCCAGTCTTTTTTAGACGGGCAGACCTAGCCATTAATGCTGGAAAACTTGTTCAACACTGGCCACTGGTCTGTGGAGTCCCTCGGGTTTCCATTTTGTCCCTCTATCTTTTTAACATCTCCATGAAATTACTGAAATATGTCATCTAGAGTTGTCAGTAATGCTTACAACACGCACACATGTCTGTCTCTCCTTTCTATCTCATTCCAAAGAAGTTGTCTTGATACTGAATCTATATCTGTTGTAATGAACTGGATGAGGGCAAATGAATTGAAATTTGATCCGAGGTGCTCCTGGTTTCTTGAAAAGAAGATCAGGGGATAGGGAGTCTACTTGTGTTGGATGGGGTTACACTCTCCCTGAAATCTCAGGCCACAACTTGGGTGTTTCCCTGGACTCGGCTCTGAGCCTGGAAGACCATGTTTTAGCAATGACCAGGAGTGTGTTTACATACCTAAAACGAGTATGGGCCTTTAGATTTGGCTGCAGTGAGACATACCTTGATTCTATCCTGTTTTAACTATTGTGGCGGACTTATAACTAAATATATTTTTAAACACTTATTAGGTTTGGAAACAAAAAGGAGAAGAATATAGAGTAACAGGCTACGGTGGTTGGATCTGGATTAGTAAAACACATGTCCATAGATTTCTGCCCAGATTACCTGGAAATACTAATGTAAATTATCGAAAGTTGCTACCAGGTGAGTATTTTAAGTCTTTGTCTCTAAAGAGAATTAATTATAAGTTCAGATAGCTGCATCAAAGCCAAGTCTTTTCTGTGCCATACAAAGCTTTCCTAAGCAGTTTGTAATCATATAGTTTGCCTCATTTTCTTCCTATAAAAAGCAGTCGAGAAAGCTCAAGAAAATTGCTGTACTATAAATATTTGATTAAGCAGTCAGAAATAAAAATGCTTTCATACAGATTTCTGAAACATTTTATTAATTGCTTCTAAATTTAAAGAGGAATTTTGCTCTGAATTTAGTAATTTGGTAAACATTATGGGCTAAATTAAATGGAGTAGAAAAATCTGGAACTGTATGGGATGATAATACTGGGCAGTATAATGGAAATTGGCCAGAATTCTTTGCTTTCCCTCCCATGGGAACTCTCATTGGATCAGCCCATGATACTCAGGTGGTTGACTAGACAGTGCACTTATTGAGAAAATGGATAAAAATCATTGTTCCACATTTGCTGAAGCTAGGGGCACAGGATCCTTGTGAAAGTGATGCAGATATGAATAAAATTTTGCTTTTTTATTGAGAGAACATCTCTCTAGAAATGTCTCCATGCTCAGGCGTGTCTCTGTAGTCAACTGTAGGTTCACACTGGAAGATGTAGCTATTCTTAGAGTGGTGTTATCTCTAGTATTCTCTAGGAAGGTCAGAAGTCCTCAAAAGATTTTAAGTCACGGGCCGGTTCACAATTCCTCGGACTGTTGGGGGCTGGACCATAGTTTGAAGAAAACACAAATGAATCATTATGCACACTACACATATTTTATTTGTACTTCAAAAACTCAGTGGAAGAACAATACAGTATTTAAAATGAAAAACAATTTTAACCAACATAAACTTGCCAGTATTTCAATGGGAAGTGTATGCCTGCTTTTGGCTGATGAGATAGTCACGTTAATTAGGCTGGTTGTTGGTGTCTGCCTTCAGTTTGATTCAGAATTAGGGCGACTCTTTTAAGTCTAAAGTTTAAGAGGGGTGGTGGGTAAATTACCTTGGAGGGCCACATCCATCTGCGGGCCTCCGTTTGGGGACCACTACTCTAGGCCATCTAGTTTAACTCTTTGGTGTACCACTGAGTGACACTCCAGTGCAGCTACAGTGTGATATTGGAGGATCTAGAGATGATATTTTAATCAAATTGCCAAATAATCAAATTTTCAAAAGTCCAGCCCACCAGTGTGGAAATCAGTGTGGAAGTCTGTAGTTGAATTTCAATAATAGTGGTTATGTTACAGAGTTCTGAGCTGAGTAAAAAATTATTTGTGTGAAATAATGTCTGAACACTCAATATATGGTACCTTGAGAATTTTATTCCATCAGCTTTAAAATCCTATAAATAAATGAAAACTTTTCTTTTTAGCAAAAAATGATACAATAGCCATTACCGAGAAACAGTGTGAACTGGATAAAAGGAAAAATCCAACAAAAGTAAAAACAGAACATAGTTCTTTGAAAAACAGACTAAAAAACCACCGTGAGCCACACAAAAAGGACCAAAAAGAAACAGAAAATTCTGAAGCCACCAAAAAAAGTTGCACGAAGCAGGAATTTGAATTGAAAGAAGAAAAAGTGGAAATTAACAAATATTTGGATAACTCAGTTTGTGCAAAAGAAGGTAAAAAGCATTTTCTCCATTATCATGGGTGTGTTTTAGCTTTTTTGTTTTTAAAATTCTGCTTGGCAGAATATGTGTATAATAGTATATTTACCCAGAGTAAACTGGGTTGTTACTGGTGGTTTTGCTTTTGATTTGAACAGAACAAATGTCTGGCAATAATAATAATAATAATAATAATAATAATAATAATAATATTTTTTTATTTATATTCCGCTTTATTTCCCCGGGGGGACTTAGGGCAGATTCCAAACATAAAAAGCAAACATTCAGTGCTCAAATACAACAATACATCCCTACTAAAAAAAAATTAACGACCCAACATATAAACACAAATATGACTAACAACTAAAATTTAATAATAATAATAATAATAATAATAATAATAATAATAATAATAATAAACACAATCCCAGTAACACCTAACATTTGTATCATATGAAGTTCTGTGTAAAGTGGTAAAATATTTGTTCTATCAGCCAAAGTCTAATGAGCAAGATTAGTCAAAATTACTTCATAAGTGTGGAATTCTAGATCATAACACAGCAATCCCAAGAGCCTATCCTTCGGGATAGGGCAGGATATAAATATAGTAAATAAATAAATAAACCACTTTCTTTTGTCGAATAATTGAATCATAAAGTTGAAAAATGCCATAAGGGCCATCCATCCCAGTCCCCCTGCCTTGCAGGAAAAGCACAATCAATCTGATGGATCAGCTTCAAAACTATCGTGTACTATGGTTTTTGTTTTAGTCTTGTTTTAGTCAATGCACCAAATTTATGACTCTGATTCAACATGAAGAGTTGTGTTGCCTGACAGATAAATATTTTAAATTATGGCATAGACATGTATCTGATAACAGTCAAAAGGATCTCTATACTTCCTGAATGTATAGAGATAAGGCACTTTAAATGTTGTTATCCTGTACGAACTTGTGTAAATCTTTCCCTCTTGATATGATCCCACATAGTCATGTGTCACTATTGCATTCTATCAAGAGGAAAACATTAACTAAACATAAACAATTAGTTTTTTAGTGCAATAGTGCATTGTTCATACATGGGAAGAAGTATTTAATCAGCCACAATTTAGTTATGAAGGTATTATTTTATATACAATAATCTCTTAGTGATTAAATATTCTTCTTCACAGAGAAAAAAGAAGTTGGTGAAAATGATAAAAGCATCAAGGAAGAACCCATGGAGGTAGATGAAGTGAAAATGGATACCTCCACAAAATGTGAAGAAGAAACTCCAATCAGTGCAGATTTAATCAATGTTAGTGAGGGTTTGCACTTACGGACATGTTACAAAATAAAAGTAAAACCTTCAAAACTGGATGGACTGCTTGAAAGAAGAGTAAAGCAGTTTACACTGGAGGAGAAGCAACGACTAGAAAAAATGAAGCTTAAAACTAATGCTAACTCTTCAGGTTGTAAATCTCTGACTCCACAGAGGAGCGTGGATGACCTACAAAAAGCTGTGGCAAGAGAAGAAAAACAAGTGGATGTTGATATTTCAAGTATTAATCAAACTGGAGATTCTGTCAAAGAACACTTGTCACCTAACAGTCTGCACTTTACTAAAACAATTGGACCAGTCCAAACTTTGCCTTGCTTAAACAGACTCTTAGAGGGAGATGCAAATAAAACCTCAGTTCAGTGCTCAGATGCTCAGACACTGCTAGCAAAGGACACTAAGGAAAGTGTTTGTGAAGCAATGGATACAGATAAAATTCAAATACAGAGCAAGGAGAGAGACCTTGATAGTTCTGTTCCCAATGCCTCTACACCAACAGAAAACAAAGAAACAAGTAAGTGTGACACCTTAGAGGACAATACAAAATGTTCAGAGCGAACAAATAACCTTGTCTCTCAGTGTGGTAACATTATTCAGCCAGTGGTAACTGAAAGTAGCTGTGAAGGCATTGCTTCATTTTTTACTAAAAAAGGACACGAAACATTAAAACCTGAAAAACAGGACTGTGATTCTATAGAAATGTGTAGTTTAAAAGATCACCCTGGAGTGACATCCATACAACCAAATGATGGAAAAGAGGGTCCCTTGAAAAACAGTGAAGATGCATCTGAACCGAAGATTGCAGTAAATCCAAAACAGACACTTGGAGGCCTGAAATCGCTACATTCTGAGCTCATTTCAGAAAAGGCATTTGAAGCTCAAATTCCTGACATGAAAGAAGAAAATATTATGGGCGAAGTAGTGAAATCTAAAATTACGGAAACAAATGGTGAAAAGCAAGGCCAAGAGAAATGTGACCTACCAAGCTCCAAAATCAAATGCTTTGACCAAATTAAAAGTCTTGCAGATAAAAATAATAACAAAAATGGAGAAGTGGATACACAAACAGAGAGAGATAAACCAGCAGCATTTCAGATTAACGGGAAAGATCTTGATTTTAAAGTATTATCTAATGAAGAATGTTTGAAAAGAGAATTTGCACAAACAGAAAGCAGTGTTGAATCTAAAATCAATCACATTAATAAAAATAATCCTGTAGTTAAACCATTTTCTTCCAGTGAATCTGTGAAACCATTTATGAATGGTGATATTGCTTCTGAAGATAAAATTGAGAGAGAAAATTTGGATAATGAGTTGTTACAGAGATCTGAGGATGCAGGTGGTGATTCTAAAGCAAATGACACCTCTCAAGATAGTACGTCTGACTCTTCCCAATATACTAAAAGGAAGCAAGGTTCTGAAAGATCTAGTCCTCTTGATCATGCGTCAATCCCAGACTCCCTTTCCTGTAATGAGCGGAGCATACATAAGGAAATGGAGTGCATGGAAACTGAATCATCTTGCATTAAGAAACCTGCCCTGTCTCCTGTAACTTCATATGAGGAATCCAGCTTGAGTAATGACTTTGCCGATCAGAATGGATTGCAAACACATAGCAGAATTGAAAACATCAATGGTGAAACCTCAATAAAAGCAGTTGTCACAGAGGTGACTACCACTTCAACGGTTTCCACCGAATCCAAAACTGTTTATAAAGTATCTGAGCTGTCAGCCTTCAAAGATGATAAAGAACATCTGGCGCCATCTACGGAAAATTGTTCTGTGTCCACTTTAACTACCACCACCACTACTGTAACAACACTTACCACTTCCAGTACAGATAGCAATACTAACGTCATTTCTGTAAAGGAGCAAAGTAAAACCGTGGTAACAACAACAGTAACTGATTCCTTAACTACTGCAGGAGGAACCTTGATGACTTCTATGACAGTCAGCAAGGAATATTCTACAAAGGACAGAGTGAAGCTAATGAAATTTTCAAAACCTAAAAAGTCTCGTTCTGGAACAGCATTGCCATCTTACAGGAAGTTTGTCACTAAAAGCAATAAAAAGAGCATATTTGTTTTGCCCAATGATGACCTAAAGAAGCTGGCAAGAAGAGCGGGGATCAAAGAGGTTCCATGTTTCAACTACACCGCTAAGCCTGCTTTGGATATATGGCCATATCCATCCCCTAGACCAACTTTTGGTATCACTTGGAGGTAAAATATTAATAACACTTTAAACAATTGCAGTAGATTTCATTGAATGACAGGGGGGAAATCATAACTTCAGTACTCATCCCTTTTAAATCACAGCACCATTTTGCTTCATCTCCTAGTGTTTTAACTTCATTTGTTTAATGAGATCTTTTGTGAGTTTAAGTGGAAAGATTATCCAGTTCTCATGCACTAAATTGAGTATACCATCAGTGTACCTGAGTAGTAATGGCAGAGGTATCTATAGTGTTGTAGGTCACAAATATCCTGAAAGAGTTCCCCTTCAGACACCAAACCATGATGTACAAAGGTACCCTGAAGGTTTGTGCTGTGTTTTATTATATCCACTTAAAATGGATGCAGCACAAATCATTTGAAAAGTGTAAACACAGATTGTGTGGAGTAATTACTGTTGACATTAGAGGCTTTATATAAGTGTGCCTTGATCTGTATTTGCAAATGATGACTATGTGGCAATTTTTTTTACTTTGTCATTGTTCCTTATAGTTCGGAGGGCTGTAGGCCTATGTGACAATTGGTTTTAAAATGTCTTAAATATCCCTTCTTATTTGGCTACTTTCAGAATGGAATGGAGTGGCAAATCCCAATAATGAATTGTTCCATTCTTTTGAATATGGAGGGCAGTAGGTTTCCCTTCTGGAAAATGCCTGGGAGTGTACTCTTATTTTTGGCAGAAAACATTTGACACTAGTCAGTTGCATTAGAGATGAAAGTCCCTTTCCACAGTTCAAGGAGACCACCACCAAGGACCCTGGGGACAACACATCCTTGTTGGTAGGAGAGGTCCTCCTCCCAGCAAAACAATTTTATTTCTCCTATGCAAATGAATGTATGCACTGCTCCTTTTGCTTGCAAGTAACACAGTAGGTGAAATTACCTCCTTCATGTAGCAGGTTGGGAACCCCAGATATCAAGTGAGAATGTTTTCAGAATGAGTGGTCTTTGTATTCTAACAATACGCCAGTGACCATGTTTGGAGCCTACTAGTATTATAGACTGAAAACATTCAAAGTTGTACTGTTTGCTCTATCTAGGAAGGAGGAAGATTTGGGTTTTTTTGTTATTCTTGTTATATTTGGAGAATCATAGAGTTGGAAGAGATCTCGTGGGCCAGCCAATCCAACCCCCTGCCAAGAAGCAGGAAAATTGCTTAAAAGCCTCCAAAGAAGGCGCCTCCGGGGCAGAGAGTTCCACTGCTGAACAGCTCTCACAGTCAGGAAGTTCTTCCTCATGTTCAGGTGGAATCTCCTTTCCTGTAACTTGAAGCAATTGTTCCGTGTCTTAGTCTCCAGGGCAGCAGAAAACAAGCTTGCTCCCTCCTCCCTATGATTTCCCCTCACATGGCCATCATGTCTCCTCTCAGCCTTCTCTTCTGCAGGCTAAACATGCCCAGTTCTTTAAGCCGCTCCTCATAGGGTTAGTTCTGCAGACTCTTTATCATTTTAGTCACCTTCCTCTGGACACATTCCAGCTTGTCAACATCTTCAACTGAGGTGCCCAGAATTGAGGTGCCCAGATTCCAGATGTGGTCTGACCAAAGCTGAATAGAGGGGTAGCACGACTTCCCTGGATCTAGAGACTATACTCCTATTGATGCAGGCCAAAATTCCATTGGCTTTTTTTGCTGCAGCATGACATTGTTGACTGATGTTTAACTTGTTGTCCACGAGGACTCCAAGATCTTTTTTACACGTACCACTGTCAAGTCAGCAGTATGTGTTGAGTTCTACACCTATCACCAGATTTTCTATTGGTTGGCTGCGGCATCCAGTGCAGCTGTAAATGACAGTAGTAGTAGTAGTAGTTGCTGTTGTTGTTGTATTTCTTACCCGCCTTTCCTCGGGTAAGAAATAAAAGAAATAAAGCATAGTTAAAACACATAAACATTGTAAAGATTCTATAAATACACAAATTAAGTATATTTCTATAAAATATACATATGAAAGCATATATCTATAAAATACATAATAAAACCACAGAACAAATTCACGATGAAAACACGTATTTAATGTATATGTGAGATCATTGTTTATCTCCTAGGGAGAAGCTAGTTGAACAATCCTTTGTTTCACCTTATTTTGTATTAATGTAAATTCTAATGGTTGAACTTAGATCGGTAAGATTTAATATACTGTATATTAGTAGAGGCACAGATAATATAAATTATGTGTGTATGTTTGCCTGTTTGTGTAAGATTGTACACTCTGCCTTGAAATACACAATTAAAAAGTCCTTATGTTACTTGGTACTATGGAGTTGTGTAGTACATAATTTTCTTTATGAATTTTCCCAGATACCGACTTCAAACTGTAAAATCCTTGGCAGGAGTTAGCCTTATGTTGAGGTTACTCTGGGCATGTCTGAAGTGGGATGACATGGCTGCTAAACCCCCACCTGGTGGAGGAACTACTCGCACAGGTAGTATTTTAAAGGAGCACTTGGCTTTGTTAATTTCCAAATATGCGGGTGGTACTTAAATATTCTTTGTGATATTTTAGGTCACTTGAATCATTTGAAACGAAAATAATTTTGTATTTTGAAGACTATCATGGATGGGACCATCTAGATCCATTTTAGTCTGGTTTCCCTCCACTGTGACAAAAAAAATCGTGTTGACCCTACTAAGCATCAGAGAACACCTTTAAACAACTTCACTTCTTATGCCAACCCTACTTACAGGCTGGTTTCAAGTACAGGGGTTCACTTAGTGTAGTGATTTTTTTGGAGGCTCCTGTGAAGGTTGTTGAAAGATTAACTGATCTAGATTGCAACTATAACACTTAATAATGAGGCATAGTGATAAAACATATGATACCAATAGCCAGTGACTAATGCTCATTAATTTTCAGACACAACTGAAAAGTGTGGATTTTTTAACTTTAGGGTCAAATTCATCATTAATCCCAGCTACAGTAAATTCATTGAATCATGACATTTCAATGTGCGTTGAGTTACACATTGCCATGTTAATGGGTCTGTCCCACTTGGATATATGACTCTGTGCTGAGATGATAAGGTATAGGAGTCAGCATGTGTGGCATGATCATCACTGGAAACCCTCCAGGGCTGTGTTTTTATGAGCTACCAGGGAAAGAGCTTTCACAGTGATAACAGCTCTGGTGCAGGTGCTCCACATGGATCCTCAAATACAGGGTGCCTTGGGAAGGCTGGTTTGGAAAATCACATGTCATGTGGCATGTGGAGTTCTTAAAGCCAGCCTTCCTAGCATGCCCTGGCATGGAGGAGCCAGGAAGAGACCAGGCATGAAAGAAATAGCCTACTTTGATTCAGCAACATTTCTCTCCCATAGTGTCAGCTTTTTATTCCTGTATTGTTGTACACCCATCACCATTTACATCCTACTGCTGCCTCCAATGGCATATCACACCAGCGTTCCATCTTTCCATTTAGTTTAAATCTGACTCTTTTTTACTTTTAGCCAAAACACTGGTATTTGTAGGATAGACATTATCTAATTCATCTGTTGCCCTTTTGAAATAATAACCTTTTGAAATGCCTTTTGTAGAAACATCAGAAACAGAAATTACAACCACTGAAATTATCAAACGGAGAGATGTTGGACCATATGGAATTCGATCAGAATACTGTATACGGAAAATTGTTTGTCCTATTGGCGTTCCAGAGGCTCCCAAAGGTAAATTCACATATAGAGTTCCAAACATATTCATTGAGCAATTGATTTTTGAACTGAGGGGTATTATAATTTAAGCCCTTGCTTCATATTTATGTACAGAAACTCCTACACCTCAAAGGAAGGGTCTTCGATCAAGTGCATTGAGGCCTAAAAGGCCAGAAACTCCAAAGCAAACAGGACCTGTTATAATTGAAACCTGGGTGGCAGAAGAAGAATTGGAACTGTGGGAGATAAAAGCATTTTCTGAAAGGTAATCTGACATTGTGAAGCTCTTTCAATGTTTGTATCATATTTAGATTGCATCTATATTGCATCGTCATTGCCATCCTGGATCTTATCTAAAACACGTTTCAGCTCAAAAATAACATTGAATTATACATGCAGTCAAATAGGAAGTGAACAGCTATTTTACGGCATTAAATACATGTTCCTTCCATTGACATTCTCTCCTGTCAGTTATTTTGAAGGAAAAAAACTGGAGATATTTGGTTATCTTATAGCCTGCATGTGGAGCTGAGGCACCAGACTTTTAACTTTGCAGTCTGTTTTTTCTCCCCAAGATGTTAATCTCTCTGGTCCTTTTTATTTGGGTATGCTGGTTCCTTTCTCTCTGTGTGTGTATTAGTTTTTTCTTGATTCTTTCATTTTTGGCCCTTCCCTGTGACCTCCTGTCTGCCCTATGCTTATTCGAGCATTTTCACTCACTTATATGGTCTGTCCACTTGTCGTTTTATTTCTCTTTGAACTCAGAATTTGGTCCGTTCTCACTTTTTGTCTCATCAAGGCAACATCACTTAGTTTCTTTACATCCAAAGTTTTTCTTGATCTCCATTTGACTCTCATTCCAACACTTTCTGTGTATCATTTATGAATTGATTTACTTCTTGGTTCATTTCTCAGACATCATTCATTCCTCCTCCTTCTCGAATATTCTTCCTGGTTATCATCCTTTCTGCTTTTCCTACACACAGTGCAAACAGCAACAGCTTTCTAGAAATGTTACACATTGATAGTAAAAAAAAAACCTCAGGAATTTGGTGTACCAATAATCTGGAAGATTAGTTCTTTTAATATTAGATGTGCTTTTTTATAATTATGATGTGATTGTGATCTAGTGTTTTGGTTCATCTCTTTGGCAGAGTGGAGAAGGAAAAGGCACAAGCGGTTGAGCAACAGGCTAAGGTTAGTGAACAGAAGAAGGCTGAGGAATTCAAGACCCAGATAGAGGCTCAACTAAAACAGCAGCGATTGGCTGCCCAGCAGGTGGGATAGCCTCTTAGTAGTCCCACCTGATGACGTTTGCATTGGTTGCATTTGTCCCTTCTAAAGTAAACATGGAAATGTCTCTTACCTAAAAATTTTCCTATCATTTCCACATGAGTAAAAACATGGTTGTGTATCTCTATTGGACGCCTGTGCTGCGGAATTAATTTTTTCCATTTATTAGATAAATGTCCCCACTTGTATAGTGTGGAATGAAATTGTTCCTTTTCAGCATTATGTCATAGTGCAGATTCCCTTGTAAAATGACTGGGTACAGATTACAGTAGTCCCTAATTTGCCAGGGTGCGGAGGAAATAATTTTAGGCATCTTGTTAATATAGAATCAAAGATTCTTCTGCATTGGAATGGAAACTAATTTATTTAATCTGTTTATATAAGAACAAACGAGAGAATTAGTCTGCCCATTGTCATACATGCATGCAGACGTGCTGTTTATAACATCTTTTGATGGTGCATTTAAAGCAGGGGTCCTCAAACTAAGGCCCGAGGGCTGGATACTGCCCTCCAAGGTCATTTACCTGGCCCTCGCTAAGGGTCAACCTAAGTCTGAAATGACTTGAAAGCACACAACAACAACAACAACAACAATCCTATCTCATCAGCCCAAAGCAGGCCCACACTTCCCATTGAATTACTGAGTTTATATTTGTTAAAATTGTTCTTCATTTTAATTATTGTATTGTTTTAAAATGTTTTTTGCACTACAAATAAGATATGTGCAGTGTGCATAGGAATTCATTCATGGTTGTTTTTTTTTCAAATTATATTCCAGCCCTCTAACAGTTTGAGGGACTGTGACCTGGCTCTGTTTAAAAAGTTTGAGGACCCGTGGTTTAGAGCTTCTGGACTTAGTAATTTGTCTTTTAGGAACACTTGTTCTTTTGGGGCTTTCTAATAGCTATGTTTGTTATGACACTTTGAAACTAATCTTTGGAATTAATTAGTTTTATGAGCTGTGAAGCATGCTATTTAATCCTGTCCACGTTTACTCCAGAACAGGTTTAGTAGTGTGTGCAAGATTGCAGTTTTGATGTATTTACCACTATTTGGTGAGATAATTGATATTGTTGATTGGCTTAATGATGGCTGTTCTTTGTTGCATCATAATCTTTAATTTTTAGAAACGGCTGGAACAGCAGAAGCAGTTACCTGCAGTATGTGGTACCACTACAGTTCCAACAACGAGCATCATTGCATCCCCAGTTTCCACGCCTCAGAAAGTTGTGATGGGCCCCTTACCGCGACCTATGCCCAGTGGAACCAAAATGGTGCTTGCTACTAAAGTCGGATCTCCAGCCACAGTCACATTCCAGCAGAACAAGAACTTTCACCAGACTTTTGCTACTTGGGTTAAGCAAGGCCAGCCTTCGGCAGGTAAATGACTAAATCAGTAAACGGAAATTGTAAAGTCTTGATTGGTTTGTATCATTTCATCAGATTTTTATTTTAGTACAGGATACAGTTCACATACCTTGGAGCAGTGATCTCTATAATTGAAGGGAGCCAATGTTAAATTTACAGAGTGTGACAAAGAGTTTTTGTTTGTAATAGTAAAAACCTCTGTTACGCTAACAGCAGCCAAAGAGTGCCCTTTGCTGATGCACACATTTAAGAGGAACAACCTCCATTCGGTGGCTATAAGCTCATGCCTTCATGTTGGTGCCTTCTGGGCAGAAATTTCACACTCTAGGACAGGGGTCCTCAAACTAAGGCCCGGGGGCCGGATACATCTCTCCAAGGTCATTTACTCTGGCCTCACTCAGTGTCAGCCTAAATCTGAAACGACTTGAAAGCACACAACAACAACAACAATCCTATCTCATCAGCCAAAAGCAGGCCCACACAGCCCATTTAAATACTAATATGTTTATGTTTGTTTAAATTGTTCTTCATTTTAACTGGTGTATTGTTTCTAAGTGGTTTGTTTGTTTGTTTTTTTGCACTACAAATAAGATATGTGCAGTGTGCATAGGAATTTATTCATGGTTTGTTTGTTTTTTTCAAATTATAATCCGGCCCCCCAACAGTTTGAGGGACTGTGACTTGACCCTCTGTTTTAAAAGTTTGAGGACCCCTGCTCTAGGAGGTCACTTTCTTTTAATGGATTTATGTAGAGTGCTAGGAATTGTCTTGCTGAATAGGGGCACCACCCCACTAGCACATAAAGAGAAGTGAATTTTGAATCAGAGCAGCCGAGGACCTCTCTGGCCTAAACTTCAAGCCCTGGAATTCTGCAGGAGGCGGCCACAGGATTGAAAGTGGAAACACATACTTTATCTACTCTTTAAAATGCTAATGTGACAAAGTACTTTATCTAGCCTAATGCTTTATATCCTGCAAGGATCCATGTAGTTTGCTAGGAAGTTCAGGCATTGACAGCTGCTGGTATAGAAGGAATTTTTTCAAAGTTGGGGAATTTTCAAAATCTACCCCCTCTAATCACAGAACTTCCAACTATAAGTGTCCTTGCTAATAATATACATTGGGAGAGTGGCACATAGTGGAAATATGATCTTTATTCAGTGGTCTGGATATGCCATACCATGCCCCAGCCGACTATTGTATCGAAAAGTCTGTTACTTTATCAACAGGGAGATGTTTGGGAGATACTTTCTTGGGGAGCTCCTCATCCCCAGATAATTTTGTTGTATCTCTACCAACTATGGGGTGGTAGCCTGCTGATAGCTCCCTTCTGCACATATGCTGCTACTTTGTCTATGTAAAGGCTGCTGATACTCAGAACACAGTGTTTATATAAATCATGTAAGGCCTACACCAAATATAGCAAGGTTGAATATTCTCTGGTCAGGGCACCAGCCATACTGATTTAATTCCTTCTGTTTACGTTTGTGGTACAGTGGGCTCTTGGTATCTACTGCAGTGTAGATACCAAAATATGTGGGTGCTGATGTCCTATTATAGACAATAACATAGTAACATGATGTCCCCTACATAAAATGGCAAAGTTTACTTTGAGGGTTTTTTAAACAAAGACTTCAGTGGTTGAATCTATGGTGCAGAATCCATGGGCACAGAGGTCTGTCTGTCTTGAAACTCTGTTTCATTTTTCTTTGTACTAATAATTGGATGAACTTTGGTGCCAGTGGAAGAGGAGCAAAATAATTAAAAAGTGTTTCTGTCTTTGCTGTGCCAGCCATTGTTCATTTCATAAGCCTCTCTCTTCTCCCTCCCTTATCATTTCCTCCCAAAAACTTTACATAGGAAGGAAGCTCTTAGAAAACCCAAAATGTCGAATGTAGCCATACCAGACATTTTAAATTTATCAGTATTGTAGTATTTGCAATCCTGTCTCAAGAGAAGAGAACTAAGTCTCACTCAGTTTTTTAACAGTCATTTGTTACTCTAAACTGACCACCATTTTGGTTTTGTTAGCCACAAATACAGCTGCTACATCAGCTACAACCATTTCCAGCAGTGGTCAAACTTTCCAGATTGCAAGCAGTCCAGTAACTGTGGCAGGCAAAGTGATCACAAAGTTACCTCTACCTGCAAACAGCAAGATTGTGGCTGTTAACGTACCAGCCACACAAGGAGGTAGGAAGATGGCATGAAAACATGGATGTTCCTTTGTTTGGATATTTTTTTACTTTTAAAAGAATTACATCATTACAAAACAGGAATATGATGATATTATTATTGTCATTATTATTATTTGCATTGGAAATTCATTTTCATGTAAACTTCCAAATCTTTCATTACCTCTTTTTCAACCTCCATAATTTTTACACATTTATTTTGTTTCGAAGTCTGTTGTGCAAAAACTACCTTACATTTTTTACTGAAAAAAACTACACATGCCTTGCATTATGTTGAGAATCAACCATATTGTTTGTTAGGGCCAATTATCTATAACCTCTAATTCTGTTTTGTGGGGTTTTTTTAGTAGTTAAAATATCAAGAACAAGCCATGGAGTTTGTGGTCTTTTCTTAGAACGAATGCCTCTCCCTCATGTTAAGCATAAACATGTTTAGGTTTAATGTAGGGGCGACTGTGTGATGCTATATGGCTTTATTATTGGTGCTCCATGTGAAAGTCGAAAGCCCTTTCAGTCAGCTGTTTCTAATATATGATTGTTAAGGTTCTGGACATTATATTACAAGATCCTTTCCAGGAGAATCGGATAGATCCTCTCTTTTTGACCAAAATGAGACTGCTTAACTATTTAATAGGCATTCAAAATTTCAAGCAGTCTTAGTCTTTGTTGTGTTCTTCAGTTGTGCAGAAGTGTGGGTAACGTGCTATTATCCAAGTGGACAATTGACAGAGTGTGGTAAAGATCCTGGAGTCTTCGTGGACAACAAGTTAAACATCAGCCAACAATGCGATGTGGCAGCTAAAAAAGCCAATGGGATTTTGGCCTGCATAAATAGGCATATAGTGTCTACATCCAGGGAAGTCATTCTACTCCTCTATTCTGCCTTCCTCAGACCACACCTAGAATACTGTGTCCAGTTCTGGGCACTGCAATTTAAGAGAGATGTTGACAAGCTGGAAGGTGTCAAGAGGAGGGCAACTAAAATGATCAAGGGTCTGGAGAACAAGCCTTATGAGTAGCGGCTTAAAGAGCTGGGCATGTTTAGCCTGCAGAAGGGAAGGCTGAGGGGAGACATGATGGCCATGTATAACTATGTGAGGGGAAGTCATAAATATGTGAGTAGGAAGCAAGCTTGTTTTCTGCTGCACTGGAGACTTAAGATGTGTAACAATGGCTTCAAACTACAGGAAAGGAGATTCCACCTGAACATGAGGAAGAACTTCCTAACTGTGAGAACTGTTCAGCAGTGGAACTCTCTGCCCCGGAGTGTGGTGAAGGCTCCTTCTTTGGAGGCTTTTAAACAGAGGCTTGGTGGCCATCTGTCAGGGGTGTTTTGAATGTGATTTCCTGCATTTTGGCAGAAGGTTTGACTGATAGCCCACGAGGTCTCTTCCAACTCTGCTATTCTAATGCAATATTTCCTGGATATGCAATATTTCCCCATATGAACCTGCCTAAGTGTTGAACTCCTAAGAAGAGTGCTAGAGCCTAGTTGCTGTGGACATGAAAGAGGGTCTCAGCAAGGGTTGTTCCCATACTGTGGGAGTCTGAGCTGTCCCTATGTCTGTTCTATTTTTATTTAAACTCTCAAGCATATGCTTCAGACCAGAGTCTCTCAAACTCTACTGCTCAAAATGTTTTGGACTACAGCTCCCACAGTTCCCAACAGCTGGTAAGCTGGCTGGGATTTCTGGGAGCTGAAACCCAAAACATCCGGAGGAGCAGAGTTTAAGAAAGACTGTTTAATTCAGTGCTTGCTTTTAGGATCATAGCATTATTGTAATTGTTGTTGTAAGGGGTCTAGGGTCCTCTGTTGTGAGAGATGTAGGAAATATATTTTTAATCTGTAGAACAAATCCCCAGATTTGTTCTACAGAGTAAGTAGTATGTCATAAAGAACATGAAGGTTTTCACTTGTGATTGATGAAATTTTTAAATTGACAAATTCTATTCCCAATAGGTGTAGTTCAGGTGCAGCAGAAAGTGTTGGGTATCATTCCATCAACCACTGGAGCCAACCAGCAGACATTCACTTCATTCCAGCCAAGGACAGCCACTGTAACTATTCGGCCAAATAACACCGGAACTGTATGTACAACAAGTGCTTCACAGGTAAGTTATTGTTAAGTTGGCATAAGGTTCCCTAGAACCACTTTGGGCTGGGTCAGAATTTTTGTGGTTTTGTTAAGAATGCTACATTTGAAGAGTACAAGTACACCATTGCTGCAGACTGTTCGTTGTAGATTTCCTTCGGACTTTCCATACATGACACAACAAAGTTGCCAGACTTTGTACAGCAGAGCTGCATGGAGAGAGAGTCTCCCCAGATTAATTTTCTCCATAAATTATGCATACTATGAGGGCAAATGTGTCTCTGGAGGCCTGTAGTCCGGTAATATGGTTTCTCTAGGGTTTTATGTGAGACTTAATCTCTTGAGCCATTTGCAATACCAGACATTATATCTGAAATGTGGAAATCAAGAATAGGCTCATAGAAATCACTTTTTTCATCATTGAGTTACCATGCCTTCCAGGCACTCATCTAAAACTAACATAAAGGTTTACCGGATCATTACATAAAATACATATATTAAAACATACTTCTATCAAATGCATATACGTACACAGAACAAAGATTAAAACACAAGATGCAGTTTTCATGATAAAAACTGACTGGATAGGCCTGCTGGAAGAGGTAGGTCTTTAGATGATTTTTCCAAGCTGTCTGAGCTGTAATGGCAGGTCGTTCCACAGTCTTGGGGTGGCCAATGAAAAGGTTTCGTGGGTGACAATCGCCAGTCGGATTCTGGCTGGCTGGAGTAGCCACCCCCCAGAGGACCTCCGTGTCCTAAGGGACAGATTGTATGGGAGAAGGCAATCCTGTAGGTAACCTGGACCCAAACCATTTTGGGCTTTAAAGGTCAAAACCAACACTTGTACTTTGCCTAGAAACTAATTGGCAGGCAATGGTGTGAGTTCAGTGTTAGTGTCTCTGTTTGGCTGTGAGAAGTTCCACAGTATTTGTCCCTTGTCACTTTTGGAAGACAATCCTCAATGCTTTGTGGCTCCCACAGAGAGCAGCCTCTGAGTGCCCAGATGATTGCATTGCATATGAGTAGAAAAGAAGGAGATGGATAGGTGGTCATTTTGCTAGAAAGGGACAGAAAAGCATTAACATATGACGACTGACTCACTGGAGCTTAGGAAAGAGAGAGAGAGATCTGAATCTCGTTTTGGCTTCTCACCTCACTTACTGGCGTCAACATGCAGCCCTTTGAGAAACTGAGGAAATCTTATAGAGGTCTTCCTGTGACTTTTTAAATGTTTGTTTCACATTACTTTTTCTCTTTCAATGTATTTAGGTGTTTTTTATGTTTATACAAAAGTAGGACAATTTTGGGACAAATTGATACAAATGGGAAAAAAGACTGTAACCAAAATATATAACAAATTAATTGGTTGAGCTACAGAAACAGAGGAGATTAAAAATGTATGATAAAATAGGCAAGAAATATTGATAGGCCTATTAAATTAAAGGAATGAGAGCAAATATGGACTGAAAAATTAAAATATACCTATGCATCAGATCTGAAAGAAAATTGGTTAAAAATTATACATTGGTGGTGTATGACTCCCAAAAAACTAGGAATAATGTATAAGCACATGGATAACAGATGTTGGATATGTAAATCACATGAAGGCTCTTACTATCATATGTGCTGGACTTGCGATAAAATATCTAATTATTGGGGAATGATTCATGGAGAATGCCACAGAATATCAAAATAGACTTTTCAATGAAACCAGAATATTATTCATTGGGAATGTTCGACATAGAAGTAATTGCTAACACGAACAAAGATAAATTATTTGCATACTTTACAACTGCCACTAGGATAGTTTTCGCAAAGTATTGGCAATCAGAGGACATATCATCTAAGGAACAATGGTTAGACAAAGTAATAGAAATAAAAGATATGGACAGACTAACATTCTTAATGAAGAAAAATACCGGAAAATATATTAAGATGACAGACTGGAACTCAATCAAGACAGAAGGAGTGCAAATAGAACATGACGAATAAGAGAAAAAGAAAACTTACTTTTTATTTTATTTATATGGATAGAAAAAGTGAACGTTAGGAAGAAGAATGGAAGACATTATTTCTTTCCCTTCTTTCCCCTTCCCAAGCTTTCCCTCCTATCTTCCATCCCCTTTCTTTCCATAGTTGTACAAGTACAAAACTTTATTACGGTCACTGACCAGCACAAAGCGGGGCACAAGCTCCTTGCTTTACAAGGGAAGGACAAGTCCCCTGTAAAGCAGTTATTTAAAAGTAGATTAGAAAACAGTTTAAAATCACATTTTAAAACACAGGATATTGTAACAGGTATGGAACGGAAGGCGGGGGGGAGGGGAGAGATTGATAGGAGTCAAAAACACTGGGGGAGGGGCACTAAAGGGGAAGGGAGGGGCACATTGCAACTTGCAGTATTTTTCTGTTTTATTGTAATGATAATTTAAAATTTCTTTAATAAAACAATTTTTAAAAAGTAGGACAATTTTTTTATTATTTTACTGCTGTTTTATAATTTTACAGCAGTTTGGGGACCAAGTGGTAAGGGAGGAGAAGATATTACGTTGAAAATTACAGAAGTGCAGTTAGAGAAGGGAGAATGCATCTGACACTTTAAAAAGTAGGAACACTAGCTTTTTATAGTAGTTCCGATTCTATGTCCCTGTTTCTCTTTCTGCAGATGAATCTTAAAGAAGTTATTTGCATGCCTGCATTTGTTCTTAGAATAAGAAAAGACTAACTGTTTTCAATGGTACTCATACAGGTAATACCTGGGACACCACTTCGGCCTGGAATGACAGTCATAAGGACACCACTTCAGCAGTCAGCAATAGGAAAGACGATCATTCGAACACCTTTAGTGGTACAGCAAGGTATTCTTCCAGCCAGTAGGTTAATTTTGATTTTTTTTAAATGTCCAGTGTGTGAAACACATGGTTCATGTCTCCATTTTTGTATCATCCACCTAAGTGAAACATTTCCACCAGAAACATTCCCCTTTTGTTTCAGAATTTCTCATTAAAGAACACAAGTCCAGATTTCCCTTGGATTGCTCCATCCCATAGCATTTATGTGTTTTATTTGATCCCAGCTTTCTCCCAAAGTTGGGACATCCATATGCCTTGGTCTCTGTTATAATTTCTATACATCTTAGTCTCTGTTATAATCATAGTTCAGTGCAATAGATAAAGAATAATGTAACATAGTGACTGCTAGGTGTTGTGTGAAATGTATTTCACAATGAAAATATGGACACTAAATTGAAGACATTAAGGCACAATGAGTCTCTGGATCTGTGAACCATTGATTTACTGGTTAATGAATTTGCTAGCTTGAAGGTAGTGGTTGACTTTTAATCAAGACTGTTTTGGGTTGAGAATAACTTCTTAATACTCTAAATCATATGTGTCAAATGGTAGACCTGCAGGACAAATTCAGCCCTCCATGTCACTTTATGTAGCCCTCTAAATCAATGGTTCTCAACCTGGGGTCCCCAGATGTTTTTGGCCTTCAACTCCCAGAAATCCTAACAGCTGGTAAACTGGCTGAGATTTCTGGGAGTTGTAGGCAAAAAACCTCTGGGGACCCCAGGTTGAGAACCAGTGCTCTAAATATTGGGCTACAACTCCTGTATTCCTCATTAGACATCATGACTAGAGCTGATGGGAGTTGTGATACAGTTTAGGGTTTCTGTTTAGTCAGGATAGTTGGGTTTGGATTTAGATGCAAGGCTTGTGGATATATGATGCCTGACTTTAAAATGTCCTTTAACCTTTCCCCGATCTCAGAGCCACAAGTGCAGTTGAGTTGCAATTCTCATTATCCCCAGTCCACATGGTGTATAATCAAAAGCGATGGAAGTTGCTGTTCAATAACTTCTAGAGGGTAATTGGGGGGTAATTAAAGAGCAGCAACCACTATGTAAAAAAACTATAATTGGCCCTGTGTATCCATGGTTTTTCCGTCCATGGATTGAACAGCCCTTTGAAGGCAATCATAAGGCTGATGTGGCCCTTAAGGAAAATGAGTTTGACACCCTTGTTCTTAATGGTACCTTCACACAGGTCAGACCCAGCAAGTAGTCACCCAGATTATCCGAGGGCAGCCCGTCTCAACAGCCGTGTCTAGTACGGCCACAGTCTCTGCAGGCCAAAAGTTGGCAACAGTGCCCGCGACACCTTCCCAGCACATGCAGCCCCAGGTCACGTCCCCACAACCTCCTCGTCCTCAACAGGGCCAGGTGAAACTGACAATGGCACAGCTCACGCAGCTCACTCAAGGCCAGGTAAGTCAATGTGATGTGGGTCAAGATTTGTCAATGTGCAGTGAGTGCCATGGTTTCTTTTTTCTTGATCTGCCGTTTTGTATATTAATGGTATAGAACAGAGATTTTCTGTATAACGCTTGAATCTTCAGAAGTTTCAGATGAAAAAAGGCACATTAATAACTCTCGTTCGTTTACTACTGAGGGATCTGGACACTATTCCAAATAACTGCTACCAAGCCTTTTATCTCTGGAAGTGACTGGGCTGAGCCTGTTATCTGCATGCAAAAGATGAAACCACACAACAAAAACAACATTTTAATTTAGAATCACCCCCTTGAAATTTTCATGCACAGCACAACTATCATAATTTGTAACCATTTTGGCCCAGTTTACAATAAAATGCATGCTCTCTTGTTTTTGTTAACAAAGGCAGTGGTGTCAAACTTGTGGCCCTCCAGCTGTTTGAAGCTTCGGCTTCCAGAATTCCTGGCCTTTGAACAAGCTGACTAGGGCTTCTGGGAGTTGAAGCCCAAACATCTGAGGAACCACAAATTCGATACCTCTGAATTACATCGTAGTATTGCACTTACTTATTTACCATATTTATACCCCCACCTTTTACAATTCCGTTTGGGAATCAAGGCAGCTTACCTATATTGGCAACGATTCGATGCCATCAAAACATACATACATAGTAAAATAAACATATACATTAAAACTGTCATTAAAAACATATCAAACCTTAAAACCCTTATAAAAATCATGTTATTTATTGAATCTGTTCTGAGATATACTTTTTGTGAGGTAAAAGTGTGTATCTTTTTACTTCACCTCTGAGGTGCTAAGGCTTATGATATTTTTATCTATCTATCTATCTATCTGATTGTTGGGGGAATGTAAGCAGACATGGTAATTACATTATGCTTTTGAGCCTTTCAGAGGTCAGCCACTCTTGGCAGCAGACTTAACCTCAATAAAGCTCTGATCTGTTGAAACAGAGAAGTTCTTGAGTGTTTAAGTATATTTTCCTCAGTGTTTTCTTTTGTATCTATAGAGCAGTCTTCAGCTATCTTCCTGAAGTATTCATATTTATCAACCAAAGGTGTCCACCTTTATTTAGTGTAATCTTTATTGCAGTGTATTTTGAAACCCAGAAAAGAATCATTGTTCACTTAATGCAATTTTTGAGTTACAGCTGTAGACCTACAACCTTAGTTATAAGCTATTCAAACAGATACTTTAGGAAAAAAGCTAATTTTAAGTGCATTGGTAGACTATGCAGCAGAATTTGAAATCAGTGATAAGAACTGTCCTAAGCACATGTCATTTTTATTTAGATTTTAGTTTTTTAAGGGTTGGTTTTCTAATTCTTCATTAAAAATATATGCATATGTATTATGCCCTCTTCACTCTTTCATCTTTTTAAAATTTCCATAGGTGGCTTTTTCAGGGGGAAAAAAAAATGTTTGGTACTCTGACTGCCCATGTAAACTAAGCCCATGTTAAATCACATCACTTCTCTTCATAAAAGAATGCAGCCCACCTGTTACTGCTGTTGAAACATGTATTGGTTGTAATGATTTTCTTCTTGGATATCCTCCCTCTTTTTAGAGTAGTCATGGTTTGACTGTGGTAATTCAGGGCCAGGGTCAAACAACTGGCCAGTTGCAACTAATTCCACAAGGGGTAACAGTAATCCCAGGACCGGGGCAACAGCTTATGCAAGCAGCCATGCCAAATGGAACAGTTCAGCGATTTCTTTTTACACCATTACCAACAGCGGCTACTGTAACTAGTTCTACGACTACAACAGTTTCTACTTCAACATCAGGTAGGATTATTATATGTTCGTCCCAAAGTTCTTATGAGGCTGTCTAAAACAAAGAAGCATGTTAGCAGAGCCTATGGAGGGTCCATGTGCGCTAAGTGCGTTCGTGACAGAATCAAACGAGCATTCCTTATCGAGGAACAGAAAATTGTTGTCAAGGTGCTGAAGGCCCAAGCACAAAGTCAGAAATCAAAGTGAACATTTGTATTGTCTGCCTAATAATAAATGAAAAAATAACAAAAAAATCAATTTCATCAATGAAGTAACTGTATTGGAGGGAAATCCATATTATTTTCCTGTGGGCTAATCAAAAGAATCACCGAATCATCGAGTTGGAAGAGACCTCATGGGCCATCCAGTCCAATCCCAGAGTGTGCAAACATTAAAATTCTCACCAATCTGAGAGTTTATAGGCTTAACAAGTGATTGAGGTGATGTAAAATATTGTAATTGTTTCTTAAAGCACCCAGTCTGTCTACCTTCCACAGGGACCTCAAAACACGAATGTTGCAATGTGCATTTGATAATGGTTAGGTCCCTGTCCATGAATGCCCAGCCACAATTGACAGTTAGATTGAATTCAGTACTTGACCCACAGTCCTAGTCCTATAATTTGCTTTTTGCACAGGCCCATGCCCAGCCCTGTCTAATTCTCGATCTGCCCACCATGTTCCTAGCTATTGTTATTGAAGTTTGCTTTGATTAATTTTAATGATGCTTTTATACTCTACTGTTTTTAATTGTTTAATTAGATTGTTATATGTTCGTTATGTCTTTAAATGTATTTTTAGTTGATTAACTCTGTTGTTCGTCGGCTTGGTCCCACTGTAAGCCACCCCGAGTCCCTTCAGGGAGATGGTGAGGGGATATAAAAATAAAGTAGTTGTTGTTATTATTATTATTATTATTATTATTATTATTATTATTATTATTAAACAGAGGCAATGAGGGGTTCCATAGTTAATATTTATGATTCCAAGGATAAGGCATGTATTTTGTTTCCCCAGCTTCAGGAGAGCAGAAGCAAACCTCCTTAGCTCAGACACAAACACAGCCAATGCCAGTGCTTCCATCCTCTGAACCCCAGCCACTTCAGAGTCAGCTCCAAGCCCAGCCACAAGGGCCGTCTGAAGCTAGTCAGCCTCCAGCTTCGACTCTAGCACAGATGCAACCTGCTCAGGCTGCTGTTCAGGCTGAAACTCAGAAACCCCTTGAAGCTCAGACTTCCACTTCACCTCCATGTCCAGCCGTTACCTCTGAAGCACAGCCATCAATACCACAATCCCCCGGAACTCCAGCTGTGTCTCCAACTCCACCCCAGAACCTTGTGCAAGGGCAGCCTTCAGCTCAAGTTCAGAGCCAGTCCCCTGCCATTGTACCTCCACAGACCCCACCCAGAGTCCAGACTGTTCAGCTAGAAGCTCAGGTACAGACCACCACCCAACAGCAGGTTCAAACGCAGCCACACTCATCGGTGCAAATCCAGACGCAACAGTCCCAGATCCCCGTCTCAATACAGACTTTGCCAGCTGCACAAACTTTGAGTCAAGTTACAGTGCAGTCACCACATCCTCAGCTGCAGATACAGCCACCACAAACGAAGGTTATTACTGTGCCCCAGCTTCAGCCACAAGTCCAGGTGTTCTCCCAGCTTCAGTCTCACGTTGTGGCACAGATCCAGGCCCAGCAAGGAGGGCTCCCTCAGCAGATTAAGCTTCAGTTGCCGATTCAGATCCAGCAAGCTGGCCCCATGCAAGCTCATCAGATCCAGAATGTTGTAACTGTCCAAGCTGCAAGTGTTCAAGAGCAGCTACAAAGAGTTCAGCAACTCAGAGAGCAGCAACAGAAGAAAAAACACCAGCACATTGAAATTAAACGTGAACACTCCCTTCAGGCCTCTAATCAGAGTGATATTATCCAGAAACAGGTGAATTGCTTTTCAGTTTCCATTCTGTATCTCTGTATATTTTGCTGTTGAAGGCTCAGAGATATTACTGGTCAGACTGCATTGCTTTGCTTTCTTTTGGGATACAACTCATGCCCTAAACTTACATACATACATACATATATATATATATAGAGAGAGAGAGAGAGCATCATTCACTCACATGTGCTGTCATCTCCTATAACTTTATGATCTGCTCCATCCTGATTCTTACAAGGATGCATTCAGTTCTGAATGAAAGAGGCGCATGTTGGATTCTCCAGTCTTTTCCAGTCTTTTTTCAGGAGATTTGCTACTGGAGGAGAGACTTGACAAAAAAGATGGATAGTGCTGTGGGATTTCATTGAGTGGTTTAAAGTAGAACCTCCATACAGTTTTGTCATAAAACGAGATGTATCTATATTTTATGAGCAAACTAGCAAACAAGTCTCTTTGTAACCTCTGTATATATACAGCAAATCATTTTGTGTAAAATTTAATACACATCATTCCGGAGCAAATTGGATTAAGAGTTCAAAGGGAAATATGACAGATGAACTAAAAAGCAGGAAGCTACGCTCATCCATTTTTCTTTCCTAACTCTTGACACCTGGTTTTGAGGAGAAAACAAACACACTTGCCACTTGAACACTTCTCATGGCCTTTCTGTTGCTTTCTGCTACTGTCAGTTGGAACTTCCAGAACTTGGAAATATTACTGGAAAAGTCAATGACTTCATTTTGTTGTTTCTTTTTAAAGAAGTAATTCATAGGTCATTATTCAGGATAAGGTTTCTCAGCAGCGTGGTCTTTTAAAATTATTTTTGAAAATATACTTGATTTTTAAATGGCCAACACTGCCCCAGCAATGATCTTCAGTCTTTAAAAATGAGGTGAAATAAGAAAAAAAATTCCCAAAACAATGGCTGTTCAGGTTGATATAACCTTACAGAGAAACTATATTGACCCTCATTTCTTTATTTTTTTAAATAGTGATACCATTATTTTTATAGTTGGCCCTCAACGTTTGCAGGAATTGGGGGTGCTGTTGCCAGTTCCTCATCCCACAGCCAAATTACTGGGGCTAGTACTGTTCTTTGTGGGGAACTGAGCATGATCCCCAGAGCCACGTCTCAGCCTTATGCATTGCATCCAGTGGCAAAACCGCTACCACCCATCCTCACCTGTCTCCCAACATCTATTCAGCTGCTATATATCATATATAAACTGTGCATTTGCAGTTTCGCAATTGTTTTTAAAAATGGCACAGGACAGCAGCAAATAATGACATTTGCAAAAGTTAACCTTGCAAATGGAGAGGGCCAACTTTATTGCATTACATGCCAGTTCTCTGGCATCCTTGCTTCAAGTCCTTGTAGAAAAGTCCTTAAAAACTTTATTGCAATCTTTTTTATTATCATTATTTTTCTGGAACTGAAGCAACTTACACCTGTGGTTCTGTTTGCCAAGTTCTCTCTCTGCCACCATTATTCCACTTCTCATTTTCCCCCTCATTTTGAGTTTCCAGCAAAGGCAGGCAAGGGCACTTACCTTGCTTTGTCAGAATTGCATTGATAGTCCCTAACCAAGTGTTCACATTTGCAGGGATAGCATGTCTATTCCCTACAGCACTCAGATATTTGCATTGCTTGCAGGCAGGAAAATACCCCAGATTCCCTGTGTTGTCCCTTGCTCTCTAATTGGTTTTTTTGCCTGTCTTGAAGGTTGTAATGAAACATAATGCTGTGATTGAGCACTTAAAGCAGAAAAAGACTTTGACTCCTGCTGAACGTGAAGAGAATCAACGGTAAGGGAGATTATCTTGTTATTGGACAGACACAGAGTAGAGCAGGGTGGGGCAGGGGAAATCTTCCATTCATTTCTGCCATCATAGAATATGTACTGAAGTAGGCTTTAACACAGCTACCATTCATAGAAGTTAACTGTGAACATGAATGTGTGTTTTTCAGAGGCAGTTTATCTGTTATGAGGTCTATATCCAGTGACATCTTGCCTCCTAACTGCAGCCTGTTTGCAAGCCTGGCACTAAAAGGGGAAGGTTTTGTCCTCATCTCTTTGAAATAATGTCTTAGTCCATATTTCTGTTTCTCTCCAACAGTTTTTAGCCTGATGTATTTTTCAGTGCCTGAAACACACTACAACTTTAGTCTTGGTTTTTAAGCTATCAGCATAGTTGTCCCTCCATATTAATTTCTTCGTAATAATGTTTTTTGTATTTATTCCCTAGAATGATAGTGTGCAACCAAGTAATGAAATATATCCTGGATAAGATTGATAAGGAGGAGAAGCAGGCAGCTAAGAAACGAAAGCGAGAAGAGAGCGTGGAACAAAAGCGTAGCAAACAGAATGCAACAAAACTCTCAGCTCTGCTTTTCAAACACAAGGAGCAACTTAAAGCTGAAATATTGAAGAAAAGGGCACTTTTGGACAAAGATCTACAAATTGAAGTGCAGGTACAATTCTCATCCTTGTGCATTTGGAGTTTGCTCACGGTTTTTGATTAGACAGCAAACTTCAGTTTACCCATTTATGCATATTTACACACGGTGTGTATTTAAATCCATGCTTACTATGTCTATGTCCTTTGTCGTTTCTACACTTTTTCTCCCTTCACTGGTTTTTCCCTTCAGTCCAGTTGCCTTGATAGACTATTTCATGTGACTGTAATCCTTTTGGGCTATACCATGTTGATTTAACGTAGGGTCCATTCCATGCTTTCTTGCACAAAACATGAAAGCAATTAGGTGAGGGTGTTTCACATTGTTATGACCTTCATCATCTTTTTGGTTAATGTCTTGTGGAGTGCTATCTAATCAATAACAGAATTGAGCTCTGATTCCATACAAACTTTGTGTCAGTCCCAAAAACCAGATCATGTATTCTTACTTTCTGCTGAATGAGATTGCCAATAATTTTAAATTTTTGTGGGCTATTTTAGAATGTGCAGTAAAAATGAAATTACTGCAAATAAAGCCCAGATAATGAGAGTCGACAGTGGATTAAATATTCACATTTTCTGTATATATAGGCAATTTTTCCTCTTTGTATTTTCATGAGATCTACACTCCAGTTGGAAATGCCAAATTGATAAGACAATTTTCACATGAAGGGGATGGCGCAGAACTTTATTTCTAAGGAAATGCTAGCATTCTGCTAAATCTGATTCTGTTATCTTTTTGATTGGCAGAAATCAGTTACATTTTTGCTGATGGCAAACTTATGCTGATAATGTACATTCTGTTAAACCAGAAATCTTCATCTTTTGTATAACTTAAATGTCAGTATATGCAGTAGTTTATTCTTTTCCTTTCTGCAAAGCGGATCCCTGATATCTTGATAGAGCCTTGACATTCCTCCGTGGTCCAAGAAATCCCACTTTGGGAGACTCATCAAATTGAAAGGTTCTTTTTAAATCCACATACAACAAAACCGATAAACTTGATGTCATCTTTTTTTAATGTAGAAGTTTCACTTTGAGCAGTAAACATTAAAATGGATTTCATTTTAAAGTATCCATGTTACTAACCATTCTGCTTTTACTGTAGGAGGAGTTAAAGAAAGACCTGGCTAAAATAAAGAGAGAAAAAGAAAAGGCACAGGCAGTGGCTGCTGCTGCGGCAGCAGCAGCTGCTGCAATAGCCGCAGCTCCACCTCCGCCGCCGCCACCGCCACCACCTCCTCCTCCTCCGCCTCCACGACCATTATTGCCTCCACCACCACCTCCTCCTCCTCCTCCACCACCACCACCACCACCACCACCACCCACTAGTAGTGTTGCATCTCCGACCACAGTCACAACATCTCTTTCATCCCATAAGAGGAAGCGAGAGGAAGAGAGGGAATGTTCATCTTCAAAATCCAAGAAAAAGAAAATGATTTCTACTACCTCAAAGGAAGCCAAGAAGGACACAAAGCTTTACTGTATCTGCAAGACACCTTATGATGAATCAAAGTGAGTAGTGGATGTCACATGGTTGAATCATATATAGCTTAGTTTAGTGCTTAGTTAGTAGAGACAAATGGAGTTGGCGATAAAATACAGAATTAATGAGAAGTGACTGACAATGTAAGCATTTGGAATTATATTTTGTAAATGCCAGTCTGTTCACTTTTGTGATCCATAAAAACTTATTTGCATGTTTCCATTGTATGATCCGTCTTACATTGCCCATCTTTTATTTTACTTGTTTTCTTTCCTTCGTCTTTTTACCTTTGCTTCAGAAGCAAGGGATTATAGGCCAGTCTTCTCCTTTGGCTATGGCTATATTAAAGATATTGAGGCGGGGAGATTGCCTCTCACAGTAATGTGCTGCTGTACATTTTCAATTCATAAATAAACTATCTTTTAAAAATAGAGTTTTGTCAACTTTTTGGGCACATAATAAAATGAGACAATTCTCCATAATTATGTGGAAAATTGAAATTATTATTTTAAAAAACCAATAGTGGGAACATTGGAGTATTATGGACTGAAAAAAATATAATAGGTTGGAATGGCTTTTCACTTGTAGCTACTTTAGTTTAAGAACCAACGGCGACAAGCTTACGATCGAGAAATCCTTTTAGAGTAACTGTTCTATTCACAGAACCCATCTTTACTTTTTAAATAAAACACTTTGGATGTGAGTGTGATATTAAGGTGGTGTATTCATTTCTGACCCTCAGATTTACTCAAATCCGTAGCATTCATTGATAAACTAATACTTTTAGGAAGCTGTTGTGGCTAGTCCTTGTTTACTGAAGACATGAGTCTTGAGAAAGTTTGTGGTTTCTTTTAGTGAGAAGCTTTATGCATATTCATGTAAAGTTTTCTGTCTTTGAAAAGTGAGTTTTCTTGGCTTGTGGGTAGGACTAAATACAGGTTTCAACATCACTTCTAGTAATATACTTTTCTGGACTATAGTGAATCAAGGGCTTCAATAATTAGGAGTTTATTCTCATTAAATGAATTTTAAATGAGTTTTTTAGTGAGACATAAAAAATTGCTACTTCACAAATTGCACTCGGGTTGCTAGTCTGTATCTTGTGCCTTGGAAAAAAACCCTATTGAATTTGATGAGACTTAATTTGAATAGAGCGGTGTAATTGTACTGTCACAAGTGCCCCAAATGTGGCATAACATTGTGATGTATGGAAACTATGTTGTTGCGGTAGTACATTTGATCATATCTAGACTTAGTTATACAGGCAGTTCCCAAGATACAAACAAGATAGGTTGTGTAGGTTTGTTCTTAAGTTAACAGATATATTTTTAAGTGTAACTCTATCCAAAAAATAGATTGTTTAGCTTTGGATAGAATAGGGAAGGGTTAAAACTCCTGTGGTGTTTATTTTGCTATCTTTGTCCCTGTTCAGAAGATTTCAGCTCACTTTCTGTCCCTGTGATAATTGGATTTTGAAAAAAATTGGTTTGTTGTGGAAACAAAAATTGGTGAGAAAGCTTCAATGGAGACACCTTTTCCCCCATGATAAGTCTTTCAGGAGTAAATTTCCCTTCTGAGGGATAGAGTTATCTCACTTCCTGGTGTCTCAACCCCATTCTTAACTATGAGTCATCTGTTTGTAACTCGGGGACTGCCTGTACTTAAAATAGACTAACTTAAATTGAGTTGTATTTAAATGCCCTTGATTTCAGTTAATCTTTTAATCTAACCAATTTGAAATCTATGCACTTTAGTTAAAAAAATATTTTTGTTAGCAGATAGCATAAAACTACAAAAAAATCTTCATCTCATAAATCTTTTGTTCATTTTAATGAGACCTGTCTTAAAAGCAGATTTGTATTGGAAATAATAGATTTTAATAAACACGCCTCCAAGGAAGTTCCAAAAGATCAAAAAGCATTCTTTAGTTCATTCATCTATTCTAAGAGAACATGCAAAAAGGTCACATAATTTACAAGGTGGCCAAGACTTGGGTTAGTGGTGGTTCCTTTCCTTTTTCTTTTCTTTTTCTTTTTTTTTTTTTTTTGTGAGTGAGTGTGTGTCAGGAGCGACTTGAGAAACTACAAGTCGCTTCTGGTTGGTTTCATTGATGAAGTGGAAGAGAGCTGATGATGTCTGCTGAATGTTGTATACACAGTTAGACCTTGATATCAGCTTAGGTTTGGTTCCAGGACCCTTCGTGAATGCAAGAAACAGGGATCCTCAGGTTCCATTATAAACAGTGGCATAATAAAATGGCGCCCCTTATATAAAATAGGCAAAATCAACGTTTGCTTTCTGAATTTTCTTTTAATGTTTTCAAGCCATGGATGATTGAATCTGTTGATGCAGATTCTGTGGATACCGAAGGCTAACAGTGTATCATAATTATACCCTCTGCTAAAAACATTAAATGAAAATCGTGTTTTGATTGTGCATTACAAGGAAGTTGGACCAAATGGCCCTTGTGAACTCTTCCAACTCTGTGACTCTATAGTAATGTACATAGTATATTTAAGAAGTTGTTAGTAGGCATGTGCGATCCATGGTTCTAAAGTACTTACAAAACTAGGGGGTGCTGGTGCTTTGTTTCTAAAGTGTTTCTAAAGTTTTGGTGGTGAAAATTTCAGAACTCTAACAAAACTTTCAAAATTTCACCACTGTTCGCTCACCAAATTTCAGAACGTTTGACTTATCCACTGATTTTTGGTTAATTTAAAACTTTTTTAATAATAAAGAAAATCTGTTCTTGGTTTGAAAGTATTATTTCCTGTTTCATTGTGTGGTCTTTACTGCAGAAACTTTATTTTTGAGGCAGAAACTTTGTTAAATTGGTGGAGACTCAACAAACCAAAATGTGCTATAAGGTGACATCCCCTGCACAAAGACAAGGTTTTTGCAGCGTAAAACTTTTGCCATGTTTTTATGACAGAACAAATTAGGAACTGCCATTTATAACGAAATTTGGAAAGTTTTGTTAGAGTTCTGAAATTTTTACCACCAAAACTTTAGAAACAAAGCACCAGCGCCCCCTAGTTTTGTAAGTACTTTAGAACCATTTAGAACCATGGATCACACATGCCTAGTTGTTAGAAGTATGGTGGGTTCATCAACCTTTAGCCGAAGCCTTGGCTGCAAAGCAGCAGGGAAAGAACTCCATTTGTGCAGTGGGGCTTTCTCTAGCGCATCCTCCCTATTCCCACTCCTGAGCATTAGGGGACTTTTCTCCTTTATCAGAACATTGTAGGATGAGAGTTAGGCAGTTGCGCTGGACAGGAAATGGAAGAGAAACCCCACTATGTCTGCACAGAGTCCACTCATGGTATTCTGGATTCAAATTGTAACTCATTGCAATTGAATAATCACTCTTTCGCTTAGTTTTCCTGTAGAAAATTGGCTCATTTAGTATAAACAGTTCGTTATGATTTCAGCAAAACACGTGGAAGAAAAGTGGCAATTTGGCTTGTGGGACATTCGTTTCTTGAAAAATCTCTAGCACAAAACGTTCTTTAGTAAAGCAAAGAAAAGTGTTGATATGGAATGAGGACCATTGGAAATTTGATTGTAAGATACAGGATATTTTTCCTTTTATTTGGGAGGAAACAAATGGTGCAGCAGGGGTTTTTTTTTAATTTAAGAACCCAATGTTAACCTAGTGCACAAGGAAAAATGGAAACTACAAATATTCAAGACAGAGCCTGAGCCCAAGGGGTTTACTTGCCATTAGACTTGAGCCTGGCATTTTAGGTATTGAGCCACACACTTAAGTAGATAGCCTCCCTTTCCCCCTATAATTTTGGTTTTTCATGTTTGAATTTAGATCCCAGTAATGGTAACATTTCAAGTTTACCATTATGAGGGTTCTTGATAGTGTTGCATGATTTCTTTTTTTACCCTCATGTCTTACCATGCCATAACTGATCAGTCACATAGTGTTGTCTGATAACAAGATGTCTTGAAGGATTGTAGTACGTTTTTCAGTCCAAGGAGTCAAATTCCATTGATTTCAGGCAGTTTATTAGATAGAAATGTAAAAGTTACATCCACTTGTCCCATTTTCTTCATGTCATGTTATACCGATATGTATTATACACATGGCTGGTATGCATGCTCCTTTTAGTGTATCTGTAAGTTCTAGGTGTGTCTGCGCTTTGCTTTGTTTTAAATCGAAGGCCTCCATTTTCAAATCTTAAGAATTGCTACTTCTCAGCAATAGTTTTGAAAATGTAGATCTTTTTCTTTGTCGTTGTGCATTCACAATTGAGACATTTGCATTTTACAGTGCATATCAATTGACCTATTTTTTTAACAATCAACCATGTATTGAAATAGGTCATAAAGAATTATTTACATGTCTCATCTTTAGATAGCACGTTTAGGGGAGCAGATAGTTAAGGAAATAAAGACAGATATAATATATATCTATTATTAAAAGTCAGATGAGGAAGTGCCGTGCCATTTGAAATGACAATTACATTGTCATTTTCATTGTAAATACTTTTAGGTTCTATATTGGCTGTGATCTTTGTACTAACTGGTATCATGGAGAATGTGTTGGCATCACAGAAAAGGAGGCTAAGAAAATGGATGTGTACATCTGTAATGAGTGTAAACGGGCACAAGAGGGCAGCAGTGAGGAATTATACTGTATCTGCAGAACACCTTATGATGAGTCACAGTGAGTTCTGACAAGAACCTCTTATTTAATATTTAGGTAGCAAAACTGCTCTTGAGTTTGGTAATGTGTTTCTTGAACAAAAAAAATGTTATTCCACATATTTTGTATACAGTGATGTGACTTTTAAAACGTCTCCAAAATGTCTTCACAAATCTTAGGTCATTTGAAATGCAGGGGTTTCTATTGTCAATCTATATAAATAAAAATGTAATGTTCGTTTGTGGGATTAACAGAACTCAAAAACCACTGGACGAATTGACACCAAATTTGGACACAAGACACCTAACAACCCAATGTATGTCCTTCACTCAAAAAAAGTGATTTTGTCATTTGGGAGTTGTAGTTGCTGGGATTTATAGTTCACCTGCAATCAAAGAGCATTCTGAACACCACCAATGATGGAATTGAACCAAACTTGGCACACAGTTCTCCCATGACCAACAGAAAATACTGGAAGCGTTTGGTGGGCCTTGTCCTTTGGTTTTGGAGTTGTAGTTCACCTACATCCAAAGATCACTGTGGACTCAAACAATGATGGATCTGGACCAAACTCTACAAGAATACTCAATATGCCCAAATGTGAACACAGTGGAGTTTGGGGAAAATAGAAACTTGACATTTGGGAGTTGTAGTTGCTGGGATTTATAGTTCACCTAAAATCACAGAGCATTCTGAACCCCACAAACGATAGAATTGGGCCAAACCTCCCAAACAGAACCCCCATGTGGGCCACAGCAACGCGTGGCAAAGGACGGCTAGTAAAATATAATATTCTAATAGCCTAATTTTACTGTTTAGTTGCAGCAGGTTCCCTACAAAAATGTAATTTTGTGCAGAAGTTGTGATTGTTGTAATAGAATCTGGATGGTATTATATTGCGTTTGATACATTTCAAATTATGCTGTTGGTCCCTGAATGTCAATATGTATTGAAAACAATGTATTGAAAACCTAAACTTATGATAAAAGTTGTATATGTAGATGTGAAACATTTGATTTTGGTTTTTGTTTTAGGGTTTTATTTTTCAGCTTTAAAAATAATGATTTGTGAATATTTCTTTTGTTTGAAACAGAAGATTTTGATAATGGTGACACTGGCAATTTTACTTTATTTATTTATTATTTTATTTTATTCTATTTACAGTATTTATATACCGCTTTTCTCACCCCTGGGGGGACTCAAAGCGGTTTACACAGTTGTAAGTTGTAATTTGGTATACATTTGTAAGGCAAAATTCAATGCCTTACAAACTTATACCAAATTACAGGGGAGTAAAAGTCCTCATGCAGTTTTGTTTCTGTTCAAATGATGGATATTCGCATAAGAACTAAGGATGGGGTAACCATTTTCTTTGGGGTCTTGCAGATTTTATATTGGTTGCGACCGATGTCAGAATTGGTATCATGGACGTTGCGTGGGGATCTTGCAGAGTGAAGCAGATCACATTGATGAGTATGTCTGTCCACAGTGTCAGTCGACTGAGGATGCCATGACAGTACTTAGCCCCTTGACAGATAAAGATTATGAGGGGCTGAAGCGAGTGCTGCGTTCATTACAGGTATGGGAAAGACCTGGGTTGTAGTTGGTTATTTATTTTAGTTCCCCAGCATATTTAAATATGATGGCAAATAAATCTTCTTTGTGATGGAATTGTAAAGTGAAGCTCCACTGAAGGCAGAGCTGGCTTTCTCACAAAACCAAGTTCAGTTAATATTTGGCAACTTCCTATCAAATGACTTTCCTCCATTTTTGAATGACTTTCTTCCATTTGTTCCTGGATTGAGCAACTTATATTTTAGGATGGAATATGGCTCATATTAATTAATAAAATGAAACCTGTTGAAATGGATGATCATATCTTTTTCTTATCAGGCTCACAAAATGGCATGGCCCTTCCTTGAACCAGTAGATCCAAATGATGCACCAGATTATTATGCTGTTATCAAGGAACCTATGGGTAAGTTTGTTCTCAATCACCTTGGATTCATTATCATTAACGAAATATGTGATGCATATGTGCCACCTTTCATTCCTAGGTCAAGATGGCGCTGCATAGTAACATGTGTGTATACATGAATGAATGAAAATTTTATTTATAGCCGGCCCTATCTCCCCGAAGGGACTCAGGACAGGTCACAACAAAATATACAATGGCAAACATTCAGTGCCGACAGTAATACGTAAACAAATCAATAAACAAGTCAAGAACACCTCAGTAAATTATAAACTAACATAAAGGAACAAGACGTAAAATGAGTCCACATATTTATTCACACAATAAATCCTTAAAATATAATTTAAAATTTTTAAAATTAGGCTAAAATTGTTGGGGGGGGGGAGATGGAAAAATTAACAAGGTGGATGCTACCAGCTAGGTAAGGTGCAAATAGATGTACTTAATCCTCTTCCTCTCCGTAAGCTAAATTGCATAGATGTGTTTTTAATAGCTATTTGAAGGAAGAGGAGGGAGTAGGCCATTTTTAATTCTTTAGGGAGGAAACTTGGAAGTGATCATGGGGAAAGCCCTCTCTCTCGTTCCCACCAACTGCACTTGAGACGGAGACAGGATCGGGAGGAAGGCCCCCTTTGCTGACCGCAGCGCTCATGTTGGTTTATATAAGGAGATGCGCTCTTTCAAATACTGTGGGCCCAAACAGATTGGGACTTTATAGGTAATAACCAGCACTTTGTATTTAGCTTGGAAGCGGATTTGCAGCCAGTGGAACTGCTGTAACACAAGTGTTGTCCGCTCCCTATACAGCGCTCCAGTTAGTGACCTGGAAAGAAGTCCCACTGAATGCAGTGTGTCTTCTTGCTGTCTGGTGTGCAAAGCAATGCCTTCTGTGTAATTTCCCTGTAGAACTGTGATTCTGTTTTTTGAAAATTCATATTTGAATTTCTTTGCAAAAAGAGCCCCTGAGGTAACTTCTTTTACTTACATTAATATATTACATATAATATATTACTCTAACGTTACTATAAAATATAAAAGGGCTGGAAGTTTTAAAAAAAATAGGGCAGCACTTTAAAAACTCTGTAATTGTAGGGTACAAAGTTAAAATGATCAAAAGATCTGGTGGAATGAGAGTTGCTGATAATCTAAAAGGGAGAAAGGCCACCTCTGTAAATGGCCCTGCCTTTTTTCCCAAATGGCGATGTACCTAAAGGTGGAGGAAAATCAGAGTAAGAGTCCAGAGAATATAATAAATGATGGACACTCACTTGGGAGAAGACCACCCTTCAGACTAAATACTTACTCAAAATTTAATGGTGGACTAAATCTTCACACCTTCTCAATATACTGAAAAAAAGTCTCCTTTATGATGTTGCTATATGTACACATATGTTTCACTATGAGAAGGCTCAAGTTCTAATGTTTGACCAATTATCCCATGTATCAGTAGAGATAGTATGTTTGTGTACTCTTATTCCCCAAGCTCACTGAACAGCAGCTGTCTTCCAAATTTGGAATAACAGTCTTAAAAAACCAGGTTTCAATCTGGTTTGTGGCTCAGAATCAGATATCATTCTCCCTTCGCTTTGCAGTTGTATCAAAGTACTGCCCTTGTCAAAGATGGCTTGCACCCCCCCCCCCTTTTATGATTTTGGTCTTAAACTTACTGTCTTCCCCTCTCAACACAACTTTCTTGATTGTATTTTACCCCCTTTTCCCCTTAAGATCAGACCTCTGCTGATTTTCTGTACTATCAATTCCATAAATGTAACTCTTTCTTGGAATCTCTTGCCTTTGCTTTTTGCAACATCAGCTCTCTTTCCCTGATGCTTCTCAAGGTTAACTATTATATGTATATATGTGTGTGTGTTTCATTGTTTACTTTTTATGACATCTATAACTTTGTTATTGTCTGATGTATTGTCGAAGGCTTTCATGGCCGGAATCATTGGGTTGTTGTAGGCTTTTCCAGGCTATATGGCCATGTTCTAGAGGCATTCTCTTTGTTATTGTCTGTTTTTCAATGCTTATTTCTTCTTTTCCCAACCTTTTGTGATTATGTACTCTTCTGTTTTTAATGGCAGTCAAGAGAGTTACATTTTCCACAATTTGACAATTTCATATTTATTATTATTTTCCATATTAGAGTAACATCTTTGTTAGGTCAAGTCTGAGCTCCCAAAATAATGGTCAGAATTTGGGAGATTTACAGATACCTAATCAGGAAAGATGGCACATGAGGAAGAAGTGAGCAGTGTAGGGAGGAGAGATGTGCCTTCAAGTCCTGGAATCTGCATCTGAATACAGTCCTAAAATGGAAAGCAAGCATTCTCACTGGATTCTACCAGCTACTGAGATGGTTTCAGGTTGCAGCTGCGTCTGTCCAACGAGTTATTAGGATAGAGAAAACAGCAAGGAGAAAGCTTGGTTCTTCCATGTTTGTAGATGTAGAAATCACATTGTTACTCAGAAGCATCTCCTTAGAGGAAATGTTCTTACGGAAAGATTTTTGCGAATGGCAGGGATATGCTAATGGATGCTGTCCATTCAGGCATAAGAAACTGGTCTGTTTCTTGACAGAATTATTTGTATTTTTATTAGATTAGATATGTACTTTTTCCCTCTTGTCTTTTTAGCGGCTTGTCCTTTTCATGCTCAGTGACCACTCTTGGCAGTTTCAAAACTGGGTCCTTTTTCACAGCCTTTTTTTGTCTACATTTTAGACATTTGCATGTGTATTTCAGTGCCAGCTAAGTGACACATTCAGACAAGAAAATAGCAATCAGGAGCAGATGAGTTGCAAATTCAGCATGCTTACATACACTGATTGTTTTGAGAAATGAAAAAGTGAAGAAAACAAGGAGAAAATTAAGGATAGAAAATTAAGAATATAATAAAAAAGTTCGTAGCATTTAAAAACATTTGTATCATCAAGTTTTTAATCATATTTTTATTCTTATCTGAAAATAGGGAGATATACATAAAATAAGTAAGTTGGAATGTCAGTGAGCTAATTCAATTTTCCTTGGTTTTATAATGTTATGGGAGATTGTATTTTTAAAGAAACATTTATAGCAAAGGGGCCGCCCTCATGTGACTTGAATATACTTCTTAAATGGCTCAAGTCTCTTCTGCGATACTTGTTTGATGTGATAGACTATCCCAAGGCAGAGTGAAGACATGTGGACTTCTAGGAGATGTTTTGTCGTTTTTTGCAGCAGCATTGGCCAGCAAGGCCTCTGATGAAGGATAATAGTGACATCCCAATAAAATGTGGATGACCATTCATTTCCCATTTCTGTCTTAAAGCATTCTATTCATATTTTAGTCAGACATGCGTTTCTTTTCCTCTGAGTTTTGGTATGATCAGTTAGAGGTGACATTATAGGCCTCTTTAAATAGTTGAAAGATGTCATGCTAAAGATAGAGCAAGCTGGCTTGGCCAGGGTGGTCCACGCCTTGGTTACATCCAAACCTGGACTATTGCAATGCGCTCTACGTGGGGCTGCCCTTGAAGATGGCCCGGAAGTTTGAACTGGCACAACGGGCGGCAGCCAGGCTCCTTACTGGAGCAAACTATAGGGAGCATACAACACCCCTATTAAAACAGCTTCATTGGCTGCCGATAAGTTGCCAAGCCAAATTCAAGATGCAGATCATGACCTATAAAGCCCTAAACGGTTCGGGCCCCGCCTATCTCCGCGATCACATCTCCTTCTGTGATCTTCCAGGGAGGCCCTCCTCTCGGTCCCACTACCGTCTCAAGCACGGTTGGTGGCAATGAGAGAGAGGGCCTTCTCAGTGGTGGTCCCCCGTCTCTGGAACGCCCTTTCAAGGGAAATAAGACAGGCCCCATCCCTCCCCTCCTTTCGTAAGAGCTTGAAGACCTGGTGGTTTCAACAAGCGTTTGAAAATGACCAGTTCTAACTCAGCCCCACACATTGTCTAATACGGCCTTATTCTTCCTACCAATTACCCAGATTCTTTCCTCTAATCGGCCCCAGAATGAACAGCCACAGACGCATACCTAATATTATTGTTGACTGCCATAGCATTGCACTTAATTCCCGGGCCCCCTAGAATTTTTGGGCTTGTACAAATCTTGGCCCGGCCTTTTAATTTTTTTAATTGCTTTGAACAAGCAGGATTACTTTTAATATATGTGTGTTATGGTGACAATTTTTATGCTTATATTTTGTTTTGTTAATGTTATGATTATGTTGTTTTTTACTTTGTATGCTTTGTGATGTTACCTGGGGACTGCTCTGAGTCCCCTCGGGGAGATGGAGCGGTGTATAAATAAAGTATTATTATTATTATTTTGTTCTTGAGACTAGAACACAAGCCAGTTGGATTCAAATGACAGGAATGGAGATTCCCCCAAAATATTAGGAAGACTTTCTTTACTGTAAGACCTGGTTGACATTGGAATGGTCTGCACTGAAGAGGGAGTGGACTCTCTGTCTTCAAATAGCAGTTGGATGGGCATTTTTGAACAGTGCTTTAGTTGTGTATACCTGTAAGGCAGGGGTTGGAGTAGAAGGCAATTGTGGTCCTTTCCAAATCTTAAGATGCTCTGATTCTGTGTTTTCAGACTCTATTGCTGATTGTATGAACTGCTGATGCCTTGTTCTAAATTAACTTTTAATTATTTTGAAGACCTTGCCACCATGGAAGAAAGAATATTGAAGCGTTACTACAAAAAGGTGACTGAGTTTGTGGCCGACATGACCAAAATATTTGATAACTGTCGTTACTACAATCCAAATGACTCACCTTTTTATCAGTGTGCAGAGGTTCTCGAGTCGTTCTTTGTACAGAAACTGAAAGGATTCAAAGCAAGCAGGTATGTAGCCATTCTCTTTCATTCATCTTTCTGTTAGCATGGCATTTATTTTAGCACTAGAAACTGCTGGAATTTGTTTGCTGATCTCTGGAACTCCATAGGTTTTGCTATTAAGAAAAACTCCAGGCTGATAAAGATTTTATATATATATAATTAAATGTGGACTTTGTGAAATAAAATGGCAGTATAAATGAATATATTTAAGTGACAGGAAGTTATTCTAGGACAGGTGTCTTTGTGTTCTTTATTGGCTTATGATGACTCCGTGAATGTAGTAATTTTCTTAGGTAAGGAATACTTAAAAGCGGTTCTGCCAGTTCCTTCCTCTGAATATGGCCACCTGGCATTCATTGGTTGTGCCCCATCCAAATACTATGCAGGATTGACACTGCCTCGCTTTCAAGATCAGACAGGATCTGGTGTCTTTAGAGTATTTACGTCTATTCACTTATTTACACTATAGCATATGTGTTCAAGAGTCCCATTTAAATTACAGATATGGCAAAGGTGCAGATAAGATTTTGTAGTTGTGGTTTCCAATAAATTTGAGAATTAAGCACCTAGTTAATCATTGCCCTTTTAGGCAGTGAAAACCATAAAGAATCTCATTCTACCTTGCAGACTAGCAAATTGTGTTTGGCATGGGCCGCAGCTGACTTCATTAGATACAATTTATAAAAATGGATGCCATTCTGTAGAAAATGAAATCTTGCTCATCCTTTTGGGCAACAAAATTTTGTGGTGGTGTTTTTTCTGAAAGAAAGTAACCCAGCAACTTCCTTAGGAATAGCCTGTGTGTGTAATTCAAGTATGATCAGGAACTTAGTGTCCCTAATGTAGACATACTAACTAGATTCCTAGAGGATGGGTTTCTGGCAGCAAGGCCTGCCTCTGTCTGTCCCAGCTCTTCTTCCCCAGAACAGTCAGTTCTCTGCTTCCAAAATCAAAGGTTGAGAAGGTTGGGTCCATTAGTAGAGCCCCACAAACAGCTGCTGCTCTTTCTCCAGATGAAGAAAGGAAAATAAATAATGTGCAGAGAAAGTAGCAGTTCAGCTTGCTCTTTTCTCATATGTAATTTTATTATCGACTTGTATTGTTTGGCTGCAACTTTCATCATTTCTTTGTTTACACTACCCATGGGTTTTTTTTCTTGCAAAGCTGCATTAAATTTAGTCAGATTTATTTAATTGGAGAACAGAATGTTTTGCTTACTCTTTCATATAGTTGTGTAATCATAGAGAGGGGGAGAGAGAGAGAGAGAGAGAGAGAGAGAGATGGAGCCCCTGGTAGCACAGTGGGTTAAACCGCTGAGCTGCTGAACTTGCTGACCGAAAGGTTACAGATTCGAATCCGAGGAACAGCGTGAGCTCCTGCTGTTAGCCCCAGCTTCTTCCAACCTAGCAGTTCGGAAACATGCTAGTGTGAATAGATCAATAGGCATGAGCTTCCGCTGTCAGCCCTAGCTTCTGCCAACCTAGTAGTTCGGAAACATGCTAGTCTGTATAGATCAATAGGTACTGCTCCGGTGGGAAGGTAACAGCGTTCCATGCAGTCATGCTGGCCACATAACCTTGGAGGTGTCTACAGCCAATGCTGGCTCTTCGACTTAGAAATGGAGATGAGCACCAACACCCAGAGTCGGAGACAACTAGATTTAATGTTAGGAGGAAATCTAACCTAATGCACAAGTACTTGTTAGCTAGTTTTAAATTGTGGAGGCAATCATATGCTAAAAGATGTGTTAGAACATGTAAAAAAGGTAAAGGTTGTCCCCTGGCATTAAGTCCAGTCCTGTCTGACTCTGGGGTGTGGTGCTCATCTCCATTTCTAAGTTGAAGAGCCGGTGTTGTCCATAGACACCTCCAAGGTCATGTGGCCGGCATGACTGCATGGAGCGCCGTTACCTTCCCGCCGGAGCAGTACCTATTGATCTACTCACATTTGCATTTTTTCGAACTGCTAGGTTGGCAGAAGCTAGGGCTGACAGCAGAAGCTCACACCACTCTCCGGAATAGAACCTGTGACCTTTCGATCAACAAGCTCAGCGCTTTAACCCACTGCACCACCAGGGGCTCCCATTGGAACATGTAGTGATCCATTTTGTATTATTGTATCAAAAGTCCAGTAATAATAATGGAAGCTTATGTGGGTAACAGCATTAATAACCCACAATTCTACGATGTCCCCCATTTTTAGAGATCTTTATATTGGGAGGGGAGGAGAACATCTTACAATTTGGGGAATCAAGTATTTATTTTACTCCACTTATATTTCTGGGTTGTTGGCTGTTAAGCATCATGTTTGTACAAACCTGGATTCATTTTCATAGTGAAATGTCAGAAGGTGATTTCTCCATCTAATGTTGGTCTGCAAATCAGGACATCAGCGTTACTGCATTCTCAACATAGTGGCGTCCCCTTGCTTTGCCCGAGTTCTCTTAAACAAAGGGTGCTGAATTGTTTCCCTTTTCTGCCTTCTGCAGGTCTCATAACAACAAACTGCAGTCAACAGCTTCTTAAACTTCCATATTTTACTCTAATACACAAAGAGCAAGGATTTGGTTGTCTGAAGCTTTTTAAACTGAGAAGCCAGAGGTTTTAGTCAGGGTGGCCTGACAAGTCTTGATGTAAACTGCGTTTTTATCAGTCACATCAGATTATATTCTTGGCTAATTTTGTCCAAAGGACAAAAGAATGATCATCAGACGGCGGCAGCAGCAGCATTTTCTTGTCAAGATCAAATTGTGCCGCGGTGGCCGAAACAGGAAAATGTTTTGTCGAAGGACAAGGGAGGAAGCAAGAAACAGTAAAATGGGGTCACGTTCTAACTCCATGGAAATGCCACATCTGTTCTTCAGTGAAGAAGCTGGTTTTAAGTCCACACAGAGAACTTATGACTGTATTTATTTATTGTCGCAAAAGGACGCTTTTTTATCGCTGCCCTCATTTGTCAGCTAATTTTTTTCTTATAACCCCCACCCACCCACCCACTCCTTTTCCCAGCCCTGGTTATGTGTAACCCATTCTGTATCTTACCATGATTCCTGTAGGTAAAAGTACAAGAGGACCTCTAGATGTCTTTTCTTTCTATGAAAGGAGCTGCTATGTACACATGTGCACAAAACAAACTGGGAATCAACAATGACTTTATCATTCATGGTAGATGAAATCGATTAAGCTTGCATAAAAGTTGGGATTAGTGGTCAGTGGACTACAGACTTTGTTGCCTTGAATATAACAGTACAATGTCATTTACTCAGCGCCGGACTGATGAGTAAAAATCTATTTGAAGGTATCTTGTTTGTAAACATTTGTCAGATTCTAATTTTTTTCTTTTTTGTATTAAAAAAAGTTCAAAATATGGATGTATATGAAACGAAATAAATGGAGATCATTGTTCTCTCCACAGATGTAGGTGTCTTTTGAATGTCCACTAACATGTTTGTACAGTTTTGGAGGTTTGCTCTGAAGCATCAGGGTCCCAAGATAGTGCCGAACAAAGGGGGTGAAAATGGGAAAGGATGGACAAGCCCAGAGCAGGATACTGCTTGCTTTTTAATGAGATTCAATAAGCATCTACTCTGTGTGCCAGGGTTGTCATTGCCCATTGCTAAATGAGAGAGTAATGAGCAAATGACTGTGTGAGGTTAACACCTTTTAATCTGTGCTTTTTCTACTAGGAAAGGTATATAAAAAGACGAGGCCAACTGAGAGTCTCTGCAGGTTTTTTTAATTGCTCTGTAAACAGCCATGTAAGCTGTTGATGAGAGTTTTGTATGTGCATCATAAGCCAGCAGCAGTTGGTTTCTGTAGCTCTATACCCGTTTGAACTAGATTTTGCACTAATTCACATTTTTGCTCTTCAGTAATCCAGAATTTATCAGATTATGGATAAGCTTTCCTTGGGTTTAACCTCACCCTGCTATGCAAAAACCCTTTTTTCTGTTACTTTCTTAGACACTGCTTTTGACCACAGTTTTCTTAAGTACAGGCTCAGGTGTACAGATATTTTGGCGTTACTCTAAGAAAGCCTATGCTTTTGTACATAGATGCTGCCATTTAACCAATGTGAAATCAAAAGAAAGTTAATTGTTCATTGTCAGGAAGGCATCCATTTATGCTTTTTAGAAAGTAGGAAGGCAAGTATTGGTGTGTTCGGGTGTATTGTCTTAGGACTTCTTAGAAAGAAATGCTACATATTGTATGCATTAACATTTTTTTAAGAAGAAGTTTTTGACCTTGATCCTAAAAATATTGTCTCTTCACAATATTTCTGTATTATTCATAAATATGGCTAACATTGAAAAACCATGTTGAGAAAAGAACTTTCCTACCCATAGGCAATAGATTACTGTTTTTAAACAAATTGTGACAAACTGAAGAATAACCTTTTTTGTACATAATAGGACATTTCATCTTAGATTAATAAAGTAATGTTTTTGGGCATCAGATTTGGTGGAGTTCCTAATGAAACATCAATTGTTTAGAGTAACATATGTAGCACTTGGCATTGCCATACTGTGCAGAAATTCTTGGGAATTTTTCATATAAATAATTATGAAATGAGGAAAATGCTACTTTCATACACTTTTTACCGAGCCTCATCATTTTTCCTACTGCTTTGTAATATATAAAGACAATTCTTAGCTGTATCAACTATGGTAATTTTTAGTTTTTCGAAAAGTTTTATTTATGAGCCAGTGTAATGTGTGTACATTTTAAATACCACTTCTGTAAAAGGAATAAAGAAAACTATACTTTACTCAGTTTTTTAAACGAAACAATGTGCAGAAATTTTTTTTTTTTTCTAATTACCTCAGTGCATTATTACAAATTCAGAAAGCTTCTTCACTTACTAGACATATCTAAGGGGGAGCATGAAGTATCCTGAGCCAACTGAGGTTACTTTTTAACTGCTGCTCCTCAGTCAAACAAGAATCTATGTTCTATGTCTAAACCTTTGTGCCGGCTGAACTGCTGGCCTGAAGGTCTGTGGTTCAAATCCGTGACACAGGGTGAGCTTCTGTCTGTCAGCTCCAGCTTCTCATGTGGGGACATGAGAGAAGCCTCCCACAGGATGGTAACACATCATGGCGTCTCCTGGGTAACGTCTCTGCAGACGGCCAATTATCTCACACCAGAAGCAACTTGCAGTATGTTCTCATGATTTTTAAAAAATGTCTAAACAGAGTTCAAATGCTCCTAAATGCTCATCAGATGTTCTGTGTTTTTTGACGGATTTGTTTGTTTATGAAGACTCATATTGGAATGCTATTATCTTGGAACAGCTGTAGAAGGTTTGTGTCACTATGTGCAAAATACAACAGTGGATGGATTTTTAGGAATGGCTGTCTGAAAAGTAAGAAAGGCCTTAGTAGTGGCTGTTCTTTTTGAAATGTCCACGAGTAAAAGTACATGTGTTTATGAAACATGGTCAATGGTGACAAACCATTACAGATTCTGAGATACATAATTTTGGAAGGCATTGCTTACTTTTGATTTCACATCAACAGCAGTTATACATTTTATTTTATTTTAACTAATATAGGTATCTTCATTAATTATCAGGAGGGATCTCCCCCTTGGTATTATTAATAGAATTTTCCTCTAATTGTTGAATTAATTAGTGACTCAAAATGGTAAGTCATGATTATCCAGAATCTTGACTTACTATTAATGAGTTGTTCAATGCTCATCCTGCTTCCACACCAGCTAAACAGCAGCCAGGAATTATTTGTTTAGTGTTTATCCAAGCTTATGATATTGACCTGTCGTTTCCTTTCAAGCCAATATCACCAACTAGAACAAGTTCTTGGCCTATGAATCCTAACCATTTTTTGGGAATTGAAAACCATTTCATACAATGGACCAAACAAACTCTTTCCTATTTGTCTTGACTGCTTCCAAAAACAGGTTGAACAGCAGTACACTATGATACAGGTCATTCACACACAAAAAAATCTTCATTGTAAATGTGGAACAACAACAAAAAAGTTTTGTAGAATACTGTTTCTTAAGCTGTGGGTCCCAACCCAAAATGGGGTCCCCTAAACGCAATGTTGGGGTCATGAAAAAGTGGTTTCTGAATACCATCTGTGTTTGTTTTACATCTTTACACAAGTCTGTTAGAACAATGTTCAGTGTTTACAGTGGACTCTGCAGGAAATGCTTCAGCTGTACTCCACAAAGAGGAAAATCAGCCTGTTCGGCAAGCCTTGCAAATGCGGATTTATTTTCAGTAGGTGTTTGACTTTTATACATATTTTATATACCTATAGTGGTATAGCTGCATGAAGCCCAAAGGAGTGGATCAACTACAAATAAGGATAGAATAGGATATATCCAGGGCCACATAAAAAATTCCCAGGCAAGGAGGAGTCGCATGTGGAAAAAAGTTAAGAAGCCCTGATGTACAATCCTGGTTTATCATTCCATGCAAATACATTGCTGTTTTTCAAACATTGGTAGCATATCAGCTACTACTTGCTATAGTGTCTCGGTAAAAAGTCTGCCACCATTTTAGACATAGTGTGGAAGTTACATTTATATATCTGAAGAGAAAAACAATAGATCTCTTTCAAAGGGAAATACAGTGAACTCAAATCTGAATTGCAAATAGTATTTTTAAATATTGTTCAAGTACCAGTATTCAGATACTCAAAAAGATGTACTGCACCATAGCTGTTAACTATATCATAGTACCTGTATCACCATTTTTCATCACATAATAGTTGCACTTACTTTCCTTTTTTCAGAAGCAAGTGAGTGAGCAAAGTGGTGAATGGATGCGTGGTCGAGCAGATGGGTGAGCGAGTGGAAGGAAACGCTAGGCTGTTTACAGTGGAGAAATGCCTTAAATCATGGGTGCAACTATTATGCAAGGAATTGTAAAATAACAAAAACAGGACTTTGAAAAGGGGTGTGTGACTTATGTAATGACGACTATTATGTGATGAAATATGGCAATCTGTGCTCAGGGGAGCTAATATCTTTAAATGTTGAGTACATGTCTCCAAAGAAAATTTACTGTTGTTGAAAACATGCAAAGCAGAAATCAAATTGCATAAATGAAGAAGAAATGTACAGGGACACTGCACAACACATGATGCAGGTATTTTCAGAACAGTTGGAAAGAGCCATCTTTTTATTTCCTCCCTTTTGACAAGTTTGTACACCAAAATGTTATGAGAGAAATCCAAGGGGATTCAACAAAAGCAATGTATTTAGCTCAGTTTTTCAATTCAGGCTTTCCGTTTCATTCCTAAAGAAGGGGAAAGCTTGTTTTCACCAATCTTCAGTAGATATCATACAAAGTTTAGTATTGGAAGATTCACTCAGTCTACATGGGATGCTGTCATCGGCAAAAGGGGATTGAGATTGAGTTCCAACAACAGTATTTGTTCGGCAACATGGGATTTCTTTGGATGCTGCAGAGAAGATATCCACAATCACATGGATTATATCCCTTGTGCAGCCGCATCACAGGCTGGAATTCAAAATGCTTTTTCAACCATGCCCATTGACTTCTCAGTTTTATTTTCCTATCTTGCCAACTAACAAAATTTAGTTATAATTACTCTTGTAAATCTAATGTTAATTTTGTAGCTTGTAGGAACTTAAATGTATATACCAAATCAAGATTTCAAATCCAACCAAAATATTTTCTAAAACCTGTCTTGGTTATTCGTTTAACTCTATTGAAGTCCCTTTTGCCAAATGACATACTTTATGTTGATGGTGGTTTCCCCTGGAAAGCAAGATTATGAAAAAACAGTGCTGCTACAACAGCACATAATGGAAGACTCTACTATCCCTGGCATTCAGATCTGAGTTAAATATAGGACAGAATCCAGAGAAATAAATGTGGGGAAGAGTTGTATGCAAGCTGCCCTCCCATCCTCCTACTCCTCATCTTGGGCCAAGCGACTGCCAGGAAGTGCCCCTTTTGACAAAATGCCTTCATTCAAAGTGTCTTGGAAAATGTTCAATTCTGACATCTTCATTGCAAATGTGCCATTTTTCCACATCAGTCACAACTCCCTTCCTTCCCTTAGAACATATGTGAAGCTATTACATTCCACAAAAGTTCTAGCAGAGATGTTCCTGAATAATGTGCCGCCACTAATTTTACAGCCTTGATACAAGATTCCAGCCATGGCTTGCATCCGAGTGTTTTTAACAGATTTTCAAATGGCAAGGCATGCTAATGAATTCTTCTATTCCCTCTCCATGTCTCATTAAGCAAACTCTCTATGGCGTTATTATTCTTGTCCAAAATTAAAATTTGGTTGTGCATCCATTCATTTGCTTTGAGCTGTAGCACTGCATTTCTCCCTAGTTATATATGCTGTACTTGCCCTGTTCCCATATGTATCCATCCTGGTAACAATAACCCCTATTCATTATTTATTTCCTGATTGTGGTGATGATTATAACAACATTTTTTTAAGACATTGCCATCATACAAAATGAACATTTAGTATTAATTAGCCTAGTCAAACCACTATCTGAGCCAAACACTCTCTTAAAGCACTACCAAGAAAATATATTGACTATGTTATTGATTTCTGTGAAAGGTAAACGGTATTTAAGCACTTCCATTACTCAAACTGAACGGAAAATTAAATATTTTGGTACATTATTTGTTTGAAGACTCCCCAAAAAAGTATGCAGAACTGGAGAACTGTAATAACCACATAATATTTTGTATAGTCGAAGGCTTTCATGGCCAGAATCACTGGGTTGTTGTAGGTTTTTTCGGGCTATATGGCCATGTTCTAGAGGCATTCTCTCCTGACATTTCGCCTGCATCTATGGCAAGCATCCTCAGAGGATGCTTGCCATAGATGCTTACCTCTGAGGATGCTTGCCATAGATGCAGGCGAAATGTCAGGAGAGAATGCCTCTAGAACAGGGGTCTTCAAACCTTTTAAACAGAGAGCCAGGTCACACTACCTCAAACTGTTGGAAGGCCGGATTATAATTTGGAAAAAAAAAACATTCAAGAGAAATATCGAAAAGCTGGAATATGTCAAGAAGAGGGCGACTAAAATTATCAAGGGTCTGGAGAACAAGCCCTATGAGGAGCGGCTTAAGGAGCTGGGCATGTTTAGCCTGAAGAAGAGAAGGATGAGAGGCGATATGATAGCCATGTATAAATATGTGAGAGGAAGCCACAGGGAGGAGGGAGCAAGCTTGTTTACTGCTTCCATGGAGATTAGGACAAGGAACAATGCCTTCAAACTACAAGAAAGGAGATTCCATCTGAACATGAGGAAGAACTTCCTGACTATGAGAGCCGTTCAGCAGTGGAACTCTCTGTCCCGGAGTGTGGTGGAGGCTCCTTCTTTGGAAGCTTTTAAACAGGCTGGATGGCCATCTGTCAGGGATGCTTTGAATGCAACATTCCTGCTTCTTGGCAGGGAGTTTTTCTGGATGGCCCATGAGGTCTCTTCCAACTCTTTGATTCTATGATTCTATGAATGAATTCCTATGCACACTGCACATATCTTATTGGTGGTGCAAAAAAACAAAACAAACACTTCAAAACAATACAATAATTAAAATGAATTTTAACGAATATAAACTGATTTTAATGGGAAGTGTTGGCTTGCTTTTTGCTGATAAGGTTGTTGTTGTTGTGTGCTTTCAAGTCACGTCAGACTTAGGTTGACTGTGAGCAAGGGCCAGGTAAATGACCTTGGAGGGACGTATCCGGCCATAGTTTGAGGACCCCTGCTCTAGAACATGGCCATATAGCCCAAAAAACCCCTACAACAACCCACATAATATTTTGCTTGGCTCAAGAGTATTTGCAATAGAAAATCTGATGTGCGCATACAGCGTTGGCAGACATTCCCAACAAAAATGGCTTCTGTAGATAGCAGTCAAAGGTGAATGATGACATGGTTTGTGCAAGATCCCTAACTTCTATGAACCCCATTCTCATTCTGGCCTCTGGACCACACTCCATCTGCATCTTCCCCAGCAGAGTAGGAAGTCTTTCTGAAAGATCACAAAGATGGGGAAAGGCCTGATTCCATAAGCAGACACCTCTTCTTCCTCCTCTTTTGTATCCAAAGTTATCCTTGCTGGAGGACAAGACTATGAGAAGTTGTGTGACTACAGAATCCAGCTTAACTATTCTGACATATATTAATGCTGTGTTAAAAGCAGATACAGAACAGCAACAGTTGTGGATTGAAACCCAAATTGTTTACTGTAATTTTTATGAGGGCATCAGCTGGTAGGTAGTGGAAGCCAATAGCTGCTCATGCCTCAGTAACAGTGTCTCCTTTTCTTCCACTGAAGACCTCTTCCTCTGAACTTGAGGGGGCAAAAACCAATCTTCTCTTTGTCCAGCATCAGCCCAACCTTCCCGCGCCCTGGAAGACCTGTGTCTGTGATGCATCCTCATCCACATTTGGTGTGCACTGCTCTTTGAACTTTCAGGTTCCTCCTCCGGTTGAACCTTTTCACATAGCTCTTGCCCCTCCAAAGCAGGCCGTCTCCTGGCCTCAAGCGTCCTCTCACAGGCTCTTGCAGAACTGCGGGGAGTTGCCGCCTCCTGTGGTAGAGCTGGCCCATCACAATGTATCGGCTTCCTACAAAAGCAAATGCCGCATGGTCACCAGTGCCTTTTGGACACAACCTCCTGGGCCATGGACGCTCCAATGGCACACTAATTGCAATGCATTGTTATGGACTTATGCAAAGTAGTTTGAGGCTGTCAACTACATCTACATTCTAGATCCACTGAGGAGATTTTTCTCAATGCTACACTTGCCATTTCCCCTTCACTACACAATTACAAACTGTCACTTTGTATTCATGCTTACTTTGATTGACATGAGTACAGTTGGCCAAAGATAAATCTTTAGATAACCAGTTTAAATTACAGACCTTTCATACCTTCTGAATGTTATCTTGATAGCAGCTGCTACCAGTTTGTCACCACTGAGACCATTAATGGATGAGAAGGGTATCAGCCCTTCCATTATGCTTAGAGGTAGAGCACTGGCATGGTACATTTCCTATTTTTTGTTACTCAAGTTTGCTTCCCTGCCCCTCCCTTCTTATTCCTAACCTGAAGTATCTATCTATGCTGTCATCTTGCTGAGTCCTGCTCTAAAATGACCTGACTATAATAGAGAGAGAAAGGACTCTTAATTCTTTACCAAGTCTGAAGTCTGGACAAGGTTTGCTGCAGTTTAAGGCATCCACAACTAGCATGTGAACTCGGAAGAAGAAGAAGCCATCAGGGTTGAGGTACAGGCGATTTGTCTTATACAGTCCGTTACTGTTGACCAACAGTGTCACCAAACACGTTCCTTCGTGTATTGTGGTAATATCATGCACGATCCCGTTAACCACTTTGAAAAAGAGAGGACAATGTATACCTCAGATTTGCACGTTAGTTATTCATTTTCCAGTGATGATACATTATTGATAACTATACCGCTGTGTGAACTTTTATTTAAAAAAAATGGCATGTAACGATAGTTATAAACATTTTCAGTGTACGTAATATCAACAAAGCTAGAGAAAAATATATTTGTTGTTGTGTGCCTTCAAGTCATCACCAACTTATGGCAACCCTAAGCCGAACCAATCATGGGTTGTTTTTATTTCAGAAGGGATTTGCTAATAAATATCAAATGAATACAATTTTTAAAAAAAGAATAGCAGTTTGCTGATTTATTGACCACAGGATTTAACTAGAGAATGCGGGAGTCGCAGTGATGCAACTGGTTAAACCCTTGTGCTGGCTAAACTGCTAACCTGAAGGTCAGCGGTTCGAATCCGCAAGACGGGGTGATCTCCCATCAGTCAACTCCAGCTTCCCATGTGGGAACATGAGAGAAACCCCCCACAGGATGGTAACACATTCTAGCGTCCCCTGGGCAGTGTCTCTGCAGATGGCCAATTCTCTCACACCAGAAGAGACTTGCAGTTTCTCAAGTCGCTCCTGACACGACAAAAAAAATCTGTAGGGGCCCTTCCACAGAGCCATAAGACACAGAACATCAAGGCAGATAAATCCACAATATCTGCTTTGAACTGGATTATCCGAGGGCCCTTCCACACAGCCCTATATATCAGAACATCAAGGCAGAAAATCCCACATTATCTGAGTGTTCAAAGCAAATAATGTGGGATTTTCTGCCTTGATGTTCTGGGATATAGGGCTGTGTGGAAGGGCCCTCAGTCCACACTGCCATATAATCCAGTTCAATGTGGATTTGACATAGCTGCCTGGAAGAAGCCTTAAAAAAATAATGCCCGCTTTTGGAAAATGGCATTTATAACTTTTGGGGAAAGCACCATTTTGATATCATAACTTTCTAGAAATGCAGGATCAGGCATGTAGCCGGGGGGGGGGGGGGGCGGGGGCTTCAGCCCCCCCCCCCAAATTCTGATGGTGGTCTTACTGGTACATTATTTAAACTGTTATGTTTATTCATATCATGATCTGATCACCATGCTCAATATATCCCATATGCATGGGGCTATTGGGATAACGATACAAAAGGTTTGCTAGGCTAGATCCTCAGCCCCCCCCCTTGAATCAAACTCAGCCCCCCCCCCGAATCAAAATCCTGCCATGATAAAAAAACGGTAAAAAAAAACGTCCTCAATGTATGGCCTTCCAAGGTCATTTACCCGGCCCTTGCTCAGGGTCAACCTAAGTCTGAAACCTTGAAAGCACACACAACAACAATCCTATCTCATCAGCCAAAAGCAGGCCACACTTCCCATTGAAATACTAATAAGTTTATATTTGTTAAAATTGTTCTTTCATTTTAATTATTGTATTGTTTTTAAGTGTTTTTTGCACTACAAATAAGATATGTGCAGTGTGCATAGGAATTCATTCATGTTTTTTTCATATTATAATCCGGCCCTCCAACAGTTTGAGGGACTGTGACCTGGCCCTCTGTTTAAAAAGTTTGAGGACCTCTGCCCTTTGCAAATGACATGTACAAGAGATCATTTTTCACTAAAGTAGACTTAACTTGCAACTGTGAAAAATGCAGGCATTTCATAGCCTCCATCTTAAGGGTTTTCATTCTAGACTGAGATAAAGTAATTAGATAGATGTGGCTGAGACTCAAAATGCTTAGAGCAGCAGTGGGTCATGTAGCCTTCTAGATATCAGACTGCACCTCCCATCATCTCTCACCAACAGCAATGCTGGTTGAGGCTTTTAGGAGATATAGCCCAGCAATACTTGGAGAATTACACCTCTCTTAAAAACAGGGTCTAGTACAGGGGCCCTCAAAGTTTTTAAACAGAGGGCCAGGTCACAGTCCCTCAAACTGTTGGAGGGCCAGATTATAATTTGCAAAAAACATGAATGAATTTCTATGCATACTGCACATATCTTATTTGTAGTGCAAAAAAACCCCCACTTAAAAACAATACAATAATTAAAATGAAGAACAATTTTAGCAAATATAAACTTATTAGTATTTCAGTGGGAAGTGTGGGCCTGCTTTTGGCTGTTGAGATAGGATTGTTGTTATTATTGTTGTTGTTGTTGTGTGCTTTCAAGTTGTTTCAGACTTAGGTTGACCCTGAGTGAGGGCCGGGCAAATGACCTTGGAGGGCCGTACCTGGCCCCCGGGCCTTAGTTTGAGGACCTCTGGTCTAGTAGTTCTGCCTCAAAGCCAGAGTTTAGTCCCAGCTAGAGTTAGTTGGGACTCAACTGGGAATCCACAGCATTTCCCAACTTAGTGCCTTTCATATCTGTTTCAATACTCCGATCATAATTCCCAGGCACTGAGCTTTGCATTTTCAAGATGCATGATCCAACAAACAAACAATGTTTCGGTGAAATTTGTTTCTGTTGATTCTTAAGTTTAACATTAACTTTGACTCTCACAACAAACTTAAAACTCTTCACAACAAAATAACGATAGCAATAATAAACCTGAAGCAACACAGAATTCACATTCACGCAATATCAAGCCTGAAGATGCAATATGTTTTCCAATATGATGAACATGGAAGATATAGGAGTGCTCTACTTAGCACGCTTGACAGGGTTGGATGATCTTACCAAATTCATTACTACAGTAGGACTCCATCTCCTCACGCTCCATCCTGCAGTCATTCAAGCACATTTCGGTACTATCTGCAGCTAGAACAAGAAAAAGAAAAAGTGGATTCAGAAGTTCCACTAACTCATTTCAGGAACTGGAGTGACAGTGACACTTTACCAAGATAGAAATCCAAGCCCAAATATTAGCTCCTGAAAATGTTTACATCGTCTAATCCAATGGTTCTCAACCTGTGGGTCCCCAGATGTTTTGGCTTTCAATCCCCAGATGTTTTGGCTGGGATTTCTGGGAGTTGTAGGCCAAAACGCCTGAGGACCCACAGGTTGAGAACCACTGGTCTAATCTGAAGCAAACTCCATTTTGTTCAACGGGATTTGTTCCCAGGTAGTATGGGATGCAATCTTGGCCAATTTCCAGGCTCTCCTCTATAGTTGTACTACCACAGGATATCACCCTGATACACTTCCCAAGCATATTTAAAAATCATCCACTCCCTATCTTTCTTGTGTTCAGCACCCCTTTTTGAAGCAGGAGATCACCTGTTGCACAAGAAAACTCTTTTATCATGCCTTTGCTCTGCATGTTCATCTTCCACTTTGTCACAATCCCAACCATGAGAAGCAACCAGATTGCATAAGGTGGTAAAGGACTAGCCAGGTTGGACGAACCACTGCTCCCAAGTGCAGAAGAACCGGACCAAGGACCTGGCATAGAGGCATAACATAAGTCTCAGGAGACTTTCATGTTGATAGTCTCCATAAGGCGCTACCTCCTGACACAGAACATGTCCTTGCACTCCACCTTCCTCAGTCACCAGGGACCAAGTGAATAGAGGGTGGAGGGCCAGGTTCCAGGCCAGATCTCAAGAAATCTGGGGGAGCAGAAGTTATTGAGAGGGAAAAGGCTCAGCTCTAGACCCATTCCAAAGCACCTTATTATCTGTCCTGAATACTGAAAACATGCCTCTGATCCAGGACTTCTGACTGCCAAATGCTCCTTGGCAAGCGCTTCTCCTTTTCTCACCCTGAAGGGGGTTCACATTTATATAAGATCAGAGTCACTTCTAACCAAGTACAGAGTTGAAGTCCAAATCATGACTCCATAAACCAGTGGTTCTCAACCTGTGGGTCCCCAGATGTTTTGGCCTACAACTCCCAGAAATCCTAACCAGTTTAACAGCTGTTAGAGGGCCTTCTCAGTGGTGGCCCCCTGCCTCTGGAAAGGGAAATAAGACAGGCCCCATCCCTCCCCTCCTTTCATAAGAGCTTGAAGACCTGGTGGTTTCAACAAGCCTTTGAAAATGGCCAGTTCTAGCTCAGCCCTATACATTGTCAAATACGGCCTTATTCTTCCTACCAATTACCTGGATCATTTCCTCTAATTGGCCCCGGAATGAACAGCCACAGACCCGTACCTAATATTATTGTTGCCTGCCATAGCATTGCATTTAATTCCCGCCCCCCCTAGAATTTTTGGGCTTGCACAAATCTTGGCCCGGCCTTTTGAATTTTTGAAATTGCCTTGAACAGGCAGGATTATTTTTAATATATGTGTGTTATGGCGACAATTTTTATGCATATTTTGTTTTGTTAATCTTATGGTTATGTTGTTTTTACTTTGTATGTTCTGCGATTTTTACCTGGGAACCGCTCTGAGTCCCCTCGGGGAGATAGAGCAGTATATAAATAAAGTATTATTATTATTATTATTATTATTATTATTATTATTATTATTATTATTATTATTATTTCTGTGGGGCCACAGGTTGAGAACCACTGCTGTAAACGGACTTCAGAATAACACAACACTGGTACTGATGTGACAACAAACTCAGACACATCCATTCTGCATCCTTACCATTCTTTAAGACACTGAAGTGAGGTGGCCAGCTCTGTAGCCGGGAGGGCTTAGTAGCATTTCTGAAGGAAGTGTTGAGTTTGGAGTTGGGGTTTACCTTGCCAGGTCGGTTGAGGTGATCCAAGCCACCAGACTGTTGCCCAGTGCCAGGCTCAACACTTTTTGATGTTGCTTCTGCCGGCAGTCGGTTGTGATAGAGATACACTAATGGATGGAACTGGGCAGAGATGCTATTGGCAGCCTCCAGCTGGAACCTATTTGTATGTATTCGGTTGGTCTGGATGAAGGAAGAGGTGGAAGCGGTATCCTCCACATGGCTGCTGGAAGGAAGGGCTTTGCCTTGTGAAACAGGCTGCTTCCTCACACCGGTGTAGTTCTCTACTGAATTTTTGATCTTCTTCCTTTTATCCAAGGGCTGCAAGTGTGTTTTTGCATCTTTCACTTTTTGACTGGCAACCGGAGGCAAGGGCTGGCCTTCCATGGGCTCATCCCTGCTAATGCTGTTGCCATCTCTGGAGATAGATTTACTCTGGCCAGCCAAGGAGTTCACTGGTCCAAATGCATCTTTGGTGAATGATTGGGTGGACTTTCCAGGATAAGGCACTGCATTTAAAAAGAGAGATTGAAAGAGATGAGGGAAAGGAATGGGGGTAGGGAAGGGAAATAGTGAGAACTAGGACCTCTAGCACACTTTCCATAGCTGTGTACAGTCAGACCTCTGTATCCATGGATTCTGCATCCATGTATTCTTCTGTCCATACCTTTTTCCCTTTTATATAAGGGACACCATTTTCCTATACCAGTGTATATAATGGGACCTGAGCACCCTTGGATTTTGACATCCACAGGGGGGCCCAGGAACCAAATTCCAATGGAATCAGAGTGGCATAGCTGCATAATGTGAAAGGACTGAAGATTAATGGGTACTTGCACTTTAAGTGTGGTGCTTGCTTGTTCTTCTTCATTTGTTAACTGTGCCAAGCTCTTGGTTCAGAACAGACAGTCAATTTACACAATGCAGCTGACCGTTGGCCCGTTTCTGTGCCTCAGATGGATGCGAAAAGTCCAGTAAATGCCATGCAAACAGCAAACAAACTGGAACAAACTGGCCCATTCCCTTGTCCTCTTTGCCTGGCACATCTAGGTCAGGGCCTTCAGTGGAATAGCAGTCCTGAGTGGGAGTGCATACAGTTACACCCGAGCTGGTATTGAGTCCCAGCAGCCTACTAAAGTGCAACGCGCTCTGATTACTGCAATGCGCTCTACATGGGGCTGCTTTTGAAGACGGTTCGGAAACTTCAGCTAGTCCAACGGGCGGCAGCCAGATTACTAACTGGGGTGATATACATACCACCCCCTTGTTGTGCCAGCTCCACTGGCTGCGAGTCCATCTCCGAGCCCAATTCAAAGTGCTGGTTTTGACCTATAAAGCTCTATACGGTTCTGGCCCAGCTTACTCGTCCGAACGCATCCACCCCACGTTCCACCTCATAATCTAAGATCATCCGGGCAGGCCCTGCTCTCGCTCCCGTCAATTGCGCAAATATGTCTGGCGGGGACAAGAGACAAGGCCTTCTCGGTGGTGGCCCCTCGTCTATGGAACACACTCCCAAATAAGGTAAGATCTGCTCCCTCCCTCCTGGCTTTTAGAAAGAAATTAAAATCATGGCTTTGGGACCAGGCCTTTGGACAGTGGATGTTTGTAGAGTTTAAAGGACATGGACTAGAATGACAATACAAGTGGCGAGACTGTTTTTATTTATTGTTTTAATGATTGCTTATGTACTGTCTAATTATGATTTATGCTTAATTATGGTTTTATTTTTGTGGTTGTTATGGATTGGCATCACGTCAGTGTCCAATGTATGGCATTGAAGTTTTGCCAGTTATGTGTAAACCGCTTTGAGTCCCCTTAGGGGTGAGAAAAGCGGTATATAAATAATGTAAATAAATAAATAAATAAATAAAAGGTTTGACTTTCTACTGGCCTTGGCTTCCTAGAACCAAAGTTCCTCAAGTAATGTCAGTAGAGCTACTCACAGGATTAAGCAACTACAATAAGCGACATTCTCCCACCTCGGGTAGAGGTATGCAACGTTGGTTGATGGATGTGTGATTTCTCACACTTCTAGGGACCTGCCATAGATTGCAATCTATATAAATAAAAATGTAATGTTCGTTTGTGCTACCATCAGAACTCAAAAACCACTGGGGGAATTGACACCAAATTTGGACACAAGACACCTAACAGTCCAATGTATGTCCTCCACTCAAAAAAATTGATTTTGTCATTTGGGAATTGTCGTTGCTGGGATTTATAGTTTACCTACAATCAAAGAGCATTCTGAACTCCACCAATGATGGAATTGGGCCAAACTTAGCACACAGGGCTCCCATGACCAACAGAAAAAACTGGAAGGGTTTGGTGGACATTGACCTTGAGTTTGGGAATTATAGTTCACCCACATCCAGAGAGCACTGTGGACTCAAACAATGATGGATCTGGACCAAACTTGGCACGAATATTCCATATGCCCAAATATGAACACAGATGGAGTTTAAGGGAAATAGACCTTGACATTTGGGAGTTGTAGTTGCTGGGATTTATAGTTCACCTACAATCAAAGAGCATTCTGAACTCCACCAATGATGGAATTGAACCAAACATGGCATACAGGACTCCAATGAACAGAAAAATACTGGAAGGGTTTGGTGGGCATTGACCTTGGGTTTTGGAGTTGTAGTTCACCTACATCCAGAGAGCACTGTGGACTCAAACAATGATGGATCTGGACCAAACTTGACACAAATTCCATATGCCTAAATATGAACACAGATGGAGTTTGGAGGAAATAGACCTTGACATTTGGGATTTGTAGTTACTGGGATTTATAGTTCACTACAGTTAAAGAGCATTCTGAAACCCACAAACGACAGAAATGGGGCAAACTTCCCACACAGAACCCCCATGACCAACAGAAAATACTTAAGGCCATCCAGTCCAACTCTCTTCACCAGGGCAAGAAAATGTAATCAGAGCCCTCCTGACAGAGAGCCATCCAGTCATAAATATAGATAGATATGATTCTCACACACACAGATATAGCATCATAGATTTGAAAGAGACCCTTAAAGAAGGACTATGATATGTTGCATATTCCAGAGTAGGCAAATCAGACACTCTCCACATCAACACTGACAAAGAAACAACAAGAAATACTGTTTACTCACAAGCATAAAGGAATTACATATATTAGAAACCAACACTTTTTCATTACTTGATTTTCCAGATCACCAGACTGGGCCACAGCAACGCGTGGCAGGGGACAGCTAGTACACATATAAAGGAAAACATCTCCCCACTTGCACCTTAAAAAAAAGATGGTCACACATGCCTTGAGAATTGTGTTCTTCAGATCACAATGTGCCTGGTTTTAAAACAAGCTAATACCGTTGAGGTTCCACAGGCTGCAAAATTGAATTAGGGACCTTGTATAGCACATAGTCTACACATTCCCCACCTGGGATGAATTGACCAAGCAATAAGCTACACGCTGTTTTGATGGATGTGGTGACCTAGGCTGTGGGAAATACTCTACTCATCTTATAGATGGGAACTGGACACTCCTGGGTTTTTTAAACTCAATAATAGGCCACCAGTGTGGAGGCAGAATCATGGATATTTGACATTTTTTCTGTTTTTGTTACAAATTAAAAACACAATTTATAAACAATCTCTCCTCCAAAAAAGAATACTGACTGGCCAAGAAGCATCTGGGGAGCAAGGTTCATACTCCATCCTGGTTTGATTGTTTAGAAGTCTCTGACAAACACAGCTATTTGGTTTTCCCATCCACAGGAAGCCTTGTTGACAATGTCATCTGGCCTGCTTAAGACCCATCCCCAGCGCAGTGTATTGACTAATTGTTTAGCCTGGAATTGAGATCCCCAGATGTACACATCAGCTGCCTGGGAGCCCTGAGAAGAAGCCTCCTGGGTCCACCCCCTCATCTTGCATTGATTCTCACCATGTTTGCCCAGCAGTTCCATTATTTGGGGTTGTGACTAACTTCAGAGCAAGAATGCTTAAGATTGCACTTTTAATTAACTTGGGTTTATAGGTCACAATGCAGTATTTCCAGTGTCTGAAGCATTTGATTGCCTGCCTACCTTCCTATTCCACCTACTAACTGTTTAGATACAGCATGTTCAGCATGCAAATAAACTGCAAGTAGGATTTAACAATGGTTCTCTCCCTTCAGCCCATTTTTCTTTCATTAGTTGTCCTCTCAAACATATTAACCGCCTTTCTTGTGATCAATCTCTCCTTCCAAATAAAGTGTCATCACTAGCAGGGTGCAAGGAGATACGGAGTGCAACAGGGGACACTATTAGAGGGGATGACACCAAAATGAAATTTTATAACATTTTTGTGCACTGTTTTAGCATGAACATTATGAACCTTCGAGGACCTTAAGATCGTCTGGAGAGGCCCTGCTCTCGGTCCTGCCATCATCACAAGCATGGCTGGCGGGGACGAGAGACAGGGCCTTCTCAGTGGTGGCCCCTCAACTATGGAACGCCCTTCCTATGGAGATTAGATTGGCTTCTTCGCTTTTAGCATTTCGGAAAAAACTCAAGACATGGCTATTCGAGCAGGTATTTGCAAATACTGAGTAACAGACATAAGAACGGAATCAACTACAAGATGGATTGGACATTGTTTTAATGAGTATTTATTGAATTATGTTTTATTACAGCTGTTATGATTTTATTGATGTTAAAGTTTTTATATTGTAACTGTGTTTTTGGTGGTATTGAATTTTGCCTTGTAAACCGCCTCAAGTCGCTGGAAGGCTGAGAGGGACAGTATACAAATACTGTAAATAAATAAATGAATTATTAGTTATTATACAAAATGTTCTTTTTGCTTTTCCATGCCCTAACAAATAGACATTAAGAGCAGGCAGGATTTTTTCTTTTAAGATTTATGTGTTGTTGGGTAATTTCATGCTTATGTTGCTTTTACTGTTATTTTTTGATCATGTTGTGACTCTGTATGTTTTGATGTTGTTGTTTGGAAACCGCCCTGAGTCCCCTCGGGGAGATAGAGCAGTATATAAAGAAATTTTTATTATATTATTATTATTTCCTGGCACTATGTCTAGCTGGGCAAATCTTCCTTCTTGGTCTTCTCCTGCATGTAAGTTTTCAGTGACCTTCAAAATCACCCCCCCCCCCCCCACCACACACACACACACACAGCAACAACAATAATAATAAACTTGACTCATCAGGAAAAAGAAAGTCTACACTTCCCATTGAAATATTGGTAAGTTTGTTGGTTAAAACTGTTCTTAATTTTAAATATTGTATTATTTGATAAAAATTTTTTTGCACTACAAATAAGATATATGCACATAGAAATTCGTTCATGTTTTTTCCCCAAAATATAATCATTGTAATCCACAAAGGACCATGTTTTAAAAGTTGGGGACCCCTGCTCTAGGCAATAATGAGGGAAGATTTTTGTGTGTGTCAGGAGTGACTTAAGAAACTGCAAGTCGCTACTGGTGTGAGAGAATTGGCCGCCTGCAAGGGGG